TATGATGGGAACATCTGATAGGACAACCATTCATTGTGACTGGTGGTAATTCATTATCTGATCAGCGATGATTGAATGTGTTATAAAATAAAATAAGACATATCTCGGCTGATTTACAGGCAAATAAACTAACATACTCAAGAGCGAGAGTTGTCATTGTTAACTATGTGAACATGGACAAAATGATGATTATCTTCATCATTATTTACAAATATATAGTTCTGGTCGAAAATAAAATAATATTTTAAAGTCTTTCTATTTTTCGACTAATAAAAATGCTTCCTCCTAATTATAATCGCGTCGTTTTTCAAGCCTGTTAAGCCATAAAAAACACCATAAAATAATTTATCAAAATAAAGTACAATGGCAGTCAACAGGTGAATAGGGAAGAGACCTGTCATTTAGTCAGACTCGAACTGTCAACAGCTGTAACTCTTTCAGAATTTCCAGTGTCAACCTGTGTGAACTACTATGAGAAATCGACCTAGATCCGAAGCTGGCTTATGAACTATACCACAAGGAAGCTGTCCCAAACCCTCACGTTCCTGTTGAAATAAATCACGTAAATCTATTTCTACTGTTGTCGTATTTCTTTCTTGCAATCATACACTTGTCTATAACAAATGTAACTAATTTTGCTTTCTAGGCATTGAATGTAACCATCCAGTTTAGAGCAGTTAGTGTTAGATCAGATTAGAGATCAGCTGCCAATCTCCGATCATCAAGAGTTTTAGAGGTGCACCCGTATATAGTCATATCATTGGCGTAGATGATTACAAATGATTCATGCAAATCAAAAAGAAGGCTCTTGTCTATAAATACTTGTTACAAAACAGAATCCTTGCATTTGCCTTCATAAAGTTCCTCAAAGGATGAAATGAGTTGGCTAAGATAAGTATTCCTTTTGTCTTTATTCACATTATCCTTTTACAGATATATTCTATCTGAAATTTTTCACACACGCACACACACACACATATATATATATATATATGTAATTATGTGTTTGAGTAGCAATCCTTCTTTTATACAAGTTTCATTGAAGATGACTGATAAGGCACTGCAATTAAGCTTTGTATTGTATTTTTCTTGTATTTGTACAAATTACTTTTCTGGACATAGAGTTTGTTAAAACTGTTCAAATGATTTGTGGATCCAAGCACTTTCAACTTATCTATTAGCCATTATCAAGGATTTTTTTTTAATTGAATATGTAGGTTTTTTTTATATGTATATATATATATATATATATAATGATGGAAAGGTATATTAATTTCCAAACATAGTCAGCATGTTGTGGCCGTGTTTATACTTGATATTATTAAGAAATTGCTAATTTTATTTTGAATACCACTACATGCTTATCAAGAAGACTTACTTTACATCTCTAGGATCATAGTTCCATTATTTTATATTATTTGGTTAAGCTAACTTGGACATTCATGAGTCTATGAGGCGAACCATAATAGTCCTGCACCATGTCAAAAGGTCATTGGGGTGGCATTCTGTGTCATAATATAGCTGGTCAATATAAGTGATTGCTGAGCCACCAACCCATCTTGCTCCATGGCTAGATGTCAGTAGATCATAACCTAGTTCTTGTTTAGCTCACCAGCAGTGTCCTGTAAATCGCATTCTACATTTGCATAAGATTATAGAAATTTAATCGGATGTTGTCTATAGGAGATGCCATCATCTGAGTGTAGGTTCAATCAAGCTTAGACTCCAGAATTTTAGTTAATGTTCAAGAGGTGACACCATACATTAACAATGAAACATGACCCAGTGCACATATTGGTACTTTGTGTGTCCATTCCACAATGTTGTTCTTTGCAGATTGACCACTGATTCTCAACTGGATTTAAAACAGGAGAGTTTCTGGTCCAATCTATAGTACTTTGATTTACTCACTGGTAAGGCTTGCCAGTGTGTTCATGCAACATAAATTTTTGTATGCTTCAGGAAGATTTAAAAAAAAAATAAACACAACTAATTGACAGTTAAGACAATAGTGTCTGGGCATGATAAAAATCTGATGCAATCAAGGCTGATGCAATATTTTTCAAGGCCCAAAAAATTTCATCATACAACCTGAAAATAGAGTCACCACTGTATATGACCTAATCTGAGGAAAAAATATTCAATTTAAAACACCCTGTCACTCCAGGGGTCTTGCAAAATACTGTATTGTGAAAAGAAAGGAAACTAAATTAATGGTTGTTCCAAATAATTTGCAGAAAATTGATCCATATATATATATATATATATATATATATATATATATATATATATGTATATATATGTGTGAACAATATGTATATGTGTGTGTGTGTTGTGTATATATATGTATATATATATATATATATATATGAATGCATATATATGAACTATAGATGTGAGTTAAATTGCTTTAATATCTGTGATATTGATACTTTATCCCAATAAATATACCACACCTTAAAACTATATTTATTCATATATGTATATGTATATATATATATATATATATATATTTTATATATATATTTTTATATATTTAATATGCATTGTACTTATTGGAAAACATTTTTATATTAGGTTGCTAGATTTAACATTTAGTTTATGGATGTGAGTTTGTAATGCCTTTGCGATTTTCTGATGACAACTAAGTATAAACAACATGCCTGGCCGCATACACAATTCCAGAAAATCCTTGTTGAAAACACAACTATATTTTAACATGAAAACAATAAACAAAAACTAAAAATTCTTGACGCTATATACATAAATCAGTTGAAACCTAACCTGAACAAAATAAACTCTGAAAACACCACAAATATTCTTAAATGCCTATAATTGATAACAGAAGCCATTGGTTGATACCAACTGCTTCCCATACTTAATACTTCTCGTTTCAACTCTTGTGTGACCATGTGTGACGTCATGAGCTGTGATGCAATTTTTGCTTCTGCGTATAGTATACATGAGTTAGTTGTTGCTTTGAAATTTTTCATGCAACAAAAACAGACTATCATTATTGTTTCATCTGTGTATTGGTTGATATAGTGAAAAGTAATTGTCATTTTTCGTAATGGCTTATGTAAGCTGAAAGCTTAGATTGAATTTAAACATGTATCAATATGGTGATTTCCTTTCGTCTTTCAATGATAATGTTATTAAGCTTATCAGACAATATGAAAGGAATTTACTTAAAATAAATAGACAAAACCTGTCTATATCATTTAATGAAACATACATCAATGAAAAATGGGTATATAAATATATATAATATATATATATATATATATATATATAATATTAGTCATAATATATATATATAATATATATATTTTCGATTTATTTATATGTATATATTTATATTTAAATTCCCAAGAGGATGAAATTTATATGTCTGATGAATTGGATCATATATATATATCAATTCATAATAAATTTGTTCTATATATTGGAAAATTTACTATATGAATGTTTGAGAATTTTTTGAATTGTTATATATATATATATATATATATATATATATATATATATATGGAATATAGTATATATATATATATATATATATATATATATATATATATATATAGATAGATAATATTAGTGGAAAATATACATACATATGCAAAATATATAAATAAATTCATACATGTATATTTTCAGAAAAAAAAAATTCCAAGAGGAAGAATCCAGGTAGAACTCAATGTCTAGGACAGAGTAAGGATATAATAAAAAGCTTAAACACTAATATTCCATGGTCATAATTTATTCCATTGGAATCGTAAATATGATCCAATTCATCAGACCTACAAATTCAAAAATATATATATATATATTAAGTTAAAAAACACCTTGATAATGGTTAATACATTACATACACCTTAAGGAACAGTGTTCCTGATCAAACAAAATTCATGAATAATTGGACATACCACTACATGCTTATGAAGAAGATTCACATTATATTTCTTAGACAATAGCTTAATTAGGACCCATTTAAACACACACAGAAACCAAACAAATTCCACCCACAACATACTTGTGGAAAATACCACCATAATAAACTCTTTCGCATGCAAAAATATGGTTAAAAATAATGGAAGTGTTAATAATCAAAGGACATTGGCTCTCAATAATATCAACTATGAATACAACTGCAATGTGCTGACTGTGTTTTTTTTTATTGATTTAAACACTGTATAAATACTAATATACAGGAATAAAAGATGATTCTCAAATTGAACCATCTTTTCTGAACACCCTAATAAAAACAATAAAGATGAAGATACTAATCTGAACAATTTCTTGAATCTGGCGGCTCATGTAATTTAATTAAATTCCTGCCAATTCCTAGATTTTCTCTTTGTTGTTGTTGTTGTACCTCCATCTTTCTTGAGATTTTTTTTTCTTAAACTGTTGATTCTAATTTTGTAGAAGAATTGGATGAAGAAGAAAGCACAGCCATGAAACTTGCAGACCCTACAAATTTCAAAGATTCCCTGTTAGATTATGGTCGTTGAGTTCCTCAAACTCTGTTCCTCATATTTGGTCTTCGTGGCTTTTATCCTCCTCCTTGGGAAACACTCACTGATTGCTGCTGCCGATCTTTGGCTTGTGAATTGGATGTGGAAAGAACCAGCCCTCGTCTATGAGATCAAACCTAACACAACAGTTGTCATCCCAAAAGTGAGTATGTTGATTGAAGTAAAGCTCAGAATGCATAAATTCCATTAGTTTTGGGGATTCAAATCAATCAGATATTTGCTGAGTTATCTGCTTGTTACTCTGTGTTGAGGCACACCTGTGAAAATGTAGCATCAGGCTAAATTGGAACTAGGTTACTAAACAACAATTATTTACTTACTACTTTTAACACTTCCACTACTGAGGATGTAGTTATCGTTGGCACCACTCATGTCCGAGTTTTGTTCATCCGGTGTCTCCACACTGCTTGAATCTGACATCCAATCCAAGTCAGGATTGGAAAAGTCTCAGGCATTGATTGTATGGTATGGCGGGTGATGGTCTTGGATGGAGCTGCTCGTCCTTGTATTGTCTTCATCTTTAGCCTTTCTCCTCTCCTCAAAAGTGGAACACCTGAAACGAATTGCTTTTTGCATAGATGGACGGTCAGCGGCTTCATCCTTCTAGGTGTTAGGGCTGATTTCAGCTTCAGTTGGTCTTTGAATGTCGAGCTGCCAGTCCTTGGATTGCCTTCTTTTAACTTCATCTTTAGTCTTTCTCCTCTCCTTGAAAGTGGAACAACCAAAATGAATTGCTCTTTGACTGGATGAACGGTCACAGTGGCTTTATCCTCCCAGGTGTTAGGGCTTATTCCGGCTTGAAAATGGGGAGATTTCAGTTGATCTTTGAATATGTGTTTTGTGGTTTTGCATAATAGTAGGCTGAAGGAGGCCTGGCTCTCCACCCTTCAGGGTGTGGCATAGATAGTGATACCTAAAAGATCTCTGTTTTGGATGTACTTATACGTCTTTATGAAACTTAGATTGGGAAGAAAGTTCGGGTTAATTTGCAGTATCAGCATCAAAAACTCCTGGTATTGACAATGTACCATTCTGGTGTGAAATTGCCTGGTTATTTTGAAAAGTGACATTAAAATATTGCACTTGATTATTGTTTATAATGTGGTGGACTTCCACCATATTTCAATGTTGACTTCCCGACGTGATTTTTTTCAACTTCTGCTAATTGGTACAAGACAATATATATATATATCAACAAATATGTATTAAACAAATTACAAGGCACATAGCCATAACATTTGTGTGTGTGGGAACATTGTGTTCGTTCTTTGGTGAATGTTTGTACGTACGTGTGTGTTTGTAATGTTCATAGCATTTTTCCAGAAATGAGAAAAGCTGATCTTCTAAGAGCTTACATCTTGTCACTGAAATGAAGAAGAAAGAGAGATTTACCTCACTACCACGCAAGGTGGTATGCAGCATGAAGCCTGGGGTAAAAAGACAAAAAGGCAAAAAATTCCCCAGTATTTATAGTATGGGGAGAGAGACCCCTGGTGAAGAATTAGGCAACAAACAAGGAGATAACTCCTACAATAAGTTATAGACAAGTCTTTCTCATCGTGTACACAGAACGTCCACCCTTACTGGCTTTGTTTACATACGTTTGCCTTGAGTAGTCATGTAGCACGGAAACTTCACTTATTTTCATTATGGTGCAATGCACAAAGTTTGAAATGAATGTGTGAAATAATGTGCAAAGAAACATAAAATTCGATATTTAAAATAAAATAAAAATTACGTGCCTAAAAAGTAAAAAAAAGGATTTTTTTCTTTTTTTTCAATGATGTTTTTTTTTATGTGTTGTGAAATTTTCTTGAATTTAAAGCTTCATAAATTACATTTTAGGGTGATATTCTGTTTCATTAGCAGATTTATTAAGGAGAATGAAGAAAAAAACTATTCATTTAAAACTTCATTTTAAAATAAAAGCGCATTTTAAAATAACACCTGTGAAAATCATGCAATAATAAAGAAATGAAAAGCTGTAAAAAGACTGTTAAATAAGTAAGCTTCCATGCATTACAACTAGAGGAAAATGAATGTAAGCAACACCAGGTGGGCAGACAACACAAAAGAGATCAAACTTACATTGATGATAAATCAAAAAAGTTAATCAAGGTTTTAATGTCATTTTCAAAATAACCAGGCAATTTCATACCTGAAAGGTACATTCTCAATACTGTGGCCTTTTGGTGTTTATACTGCAAATTAACCAAAGTTCAGTCTAATTTTTTAGGTGAAAATGGAAATGAAAATTTGTCAGACTATTGTCTCTTTTTGTTGTTTAGTAATGCTACTATGACTAATTTATATGAATCCATCCAGTGCGCTTTTAGCGTTGATGTATTGAGTGAAGGAATTTGCAAGTGGTGATTTTTGCCATTTCTAAACTTGGAATTTTAATCTACATTACAATCCAAGGAAGGGTTGTCCAAAAGAACACAACTGAAAAGGATTTAGAAGCTGATGTTGCAGCAAATATCCTACAGCTAGGGAACACAGAAATAATGCTAGTATAGAACAGTCCAGTGTGAATTCAAAAGGATTGGAAAGGTGTCAGTGGTTGGAAAATGGGTCCTGCACAACCCGTTTACAAAGAATTTTCAACAATGATTGTTGTGAGTCACTGCTTACAAGAAAACTGCATGTGTCTTTTTGGACAGACTTGTAATAAGGTAATAAAAAATGGATTCTGTATCATATTGTTAAATGCTGTTGTTAGTGGATCAGACAAAGAAACAGACCTGCTCAGCAACAGAGAGAAGAAGTTAATCCAAAGATTATCTTGAGTTTATGTTGGGATATTCAAGAAATCACCCATTATGAACTGTTAGACTATAATCAAACAATCAATGCTGATCTCTACTGGCAATAATTTTAAAGTTAGAAAAAGCATCTTTGGACAGAAATATCCATCATTAGTCGACAGAAAGGGAGTGATCTTCCACCATGATAATGCTGGTTTTCACACTGCACAATTCACCAAAGATCTCTTAAAGCAATGATTTCCAATGTGGGGTGCATGCTCCACTCCACTGGTGGGGCACGGTAATATTTTGGTGTTGCATATGTAGGATGTGCACTCTTTGGTTTTGTTATAGTGGAACACACCTATTCTATAGACTCTCCCACCTATAATAAGTAGGAGTAGTAAGAGTAACAAGCAGGTCAGCAGTGAGTTGGTCAGTCGACCGTTAGTCGGATATTAAAGTATCAGTCCAAATAATGTAAATAATGCAAGTAATCATAATACCTCATCTCAGAGATCCAATCACCTGATGAAGGCCGGAGCGTACAATGGCTGAAACGTTGTGAATATGGCAATGAAGATGAAGATAACAGTCCGAATAATGTAAATAATGCAAGTAATCATAATACCTCATCTCAGTGATATAGACACATAAAATAATTTTACACACACTGTAGCTGGGTAAATAGAGAAACGTATGATTCTTCATCTACTAAATTTTATTTTTTTAATTTAATTTTCAGTTAATTCCTGTCAATGGTACGTACTATGTGTGCATATACGTTGCAATCTGCGCAGGTGTCACTGTAGCGACAGTCCTTACGGGTCTTCTGCTCAAATTCACTCTGGTTAGAGGAGCTGGGCGCCTCCACCATAAAATGCTCACTTACCTCACAAGTCTGCCTGTCATGTAAGTAAAAGTTTTATATACAAGTACAAATTTAGAATGATGTACACTACAGCGAACCTTCAGTTTAATAGATTTTTGTGATCAAACGGACATTGTCTTAGCATTGAGAGTAAATTAGGCTGAATTCTATGAAAAAAAAAATGTCCAGCCTTCACTTCCACTTTCCTCTCTCTCTCTCTCACTGTCTTTCACTTTGTCTCCCTTGCTCAGTCTTTTTCTCTCTCTCTCTTTTCTCTCTCACTCTGTCTCTGCCTGTTTCTCTCTTATTCTCTCTTTCCTTAACGATCTGTCTCTTTCTCCTTCACTCTGTTTCTTTCTCCTCCTTTCTCACTTTCGCTCTTTCTCTCTGCTTCTTAATCTTTCACTCTTTCTCTTTGATTCTGTCTTGCTCTTTCTATCTGCTTCTCCTCCTCACTCTTGCTCTTTGTCCCTCATTCTCAATTTCTCTCTTGCTCTTTTTCCCTGCTTCCTTCACTCTCTCTCATGCTTTTCCTCTCAACTTCTCCGTGTCTCTTTTTGTTTCTTCCTGCTTCCCTCTCCTTCACACTCCCTCTCATTATTTCTATTTGTTTCTCATTCTCTCTGCTCCTCTCTCTCCCTCTCTGCTTCTCTCACTCTCACTCTTTCTCCCTGCTACTCACTCTCACACTCTATCTCACTGCATTGCACTCTCACTCCTCCTCACTTTTCCCCTCCTTCCCAATCTATTACAGACCCTCTCATTTCTTCTTCCTGCTTCTCACCCTCCCATTTTCTCCTTCTTTCTAACTCTCACTCCCCTTCTTTGCTTTTCTCTCTCTCTCTTTCTACCTGCATCTCACTCTTGTACTGTCCCTCCCTCCTTCTAACTCCCTCTCTTTGCTTCTCACTCCCTCCCTCTCCTTTTTTCTCTTTGTTTCTCATTTTCTCACATTTTCTTCCTGCTTCTCACTCTCCGTCTCTGCTTCCTTCACTCTTTCTCTCAGCTTCTCTCTCTCTTTCTCTCTGCTTCTCAGTCTCTCGCTCTTTAGTCTCATTCTGTGGCACTCCCTCTCTTTCTCCCTGCTCCTCTCCCTTCCTCTTGTTCTTTCTCCTTGCTTCTCAGTCTCTCAATCTTTAGTGTCACTCTGTCACTCTCTCACTTTCTCTTTCTCCTTCTCCCTCCCTGATTCTCCTTTCTCCCTCTCCTTCTCACTCCCTCCTTCTCCTTCTCACTCCCTCCTTCTCCTTCTCCCTCCCACTCCCTGCTTCTCCCACTTTCTCCTTCTCACTCTCTCTCTGTCCCTGTGCTCTCCCTCTCTGTCCCTTTCTTTTCTCACTTCCCCTCCTCTTTTTCCTGCTTCTCACTCTCATATAATAAATGTGATTTGTTTTGAAGTCAATGCTTTTAATTTTAACAAATATGTCATCTTGCTACAATGTTCCCATTTCTTTCCGAATGATGTTATTACAAAACAAAGCCATATTTTCTTTTTGTTCTGAATTTACTCTTTTATGCTCCTTCTATCTCATTCATTTGTAAAATAACATTTGGGGTGCTGAAAATTCTTAACCTGGTTCATTTCCCAAAAATCTTCAGATACTGATTTGGGAAAGGTCGGGGGTCAAGCGGAGAACTTTTCAGTACCATTTTTGACCCACTTTTTCCATGCTTATTCAGTTTTTGTTTTCTTTTTTTTCCTCAATCAAGACATTTTGAATCAACACCTCCATGCACGATATTAAACACTTTTTCTGCCGATAGCAGAATTGTTGATCAGGTAAGTGATCTCTTTGATTTTTCACCATTAAAATAATAATAATAATAATAATAATAATAATAATATCTCAAAATTTACACAATCCCAATTGTTATTGGTGCACCAGGAACAATACCAGAATTATAAAAAAAAATTGTTTCTTGACTCCCTGGTGAACCGAGTTTGGCTGAAAGGCAACAAATTGCACTGATTGTGACTTCTAACTTTCCTCAGAAAAGTTTTATCAATGTGGAAGATTTTTTTTAATCATTTCAACCCAAGCAACGCAGTAAAGCTATGAAGACATGAGGAATTACTGAGTGTGGAAGAATAAGAAAAAGGAAAACATTATTAACCCCTTCAATGGCATAGACATGGATATACGTTTTTCGGAAAGTAAAAAATTCCAGCAATAAATTTTAATAGTAGAAAAACCTTCCAGCAATAAATTTTAATAGTAAAATAAAAATTTCCAGCAATAGATTTTAATAGTAAAATAAAAATTTCCAGCAATAGATTTTAATAGCGTTGTGGTACGATCCACCTAATTTACATAGTGGAGTACCGACCATATAAATATGGTTGGTATCGGGAAGACGAGAGAGAGGAAGAAGAGATCCAATCCAGAGACTCTGCCGACTGCGACTAAGTCAACCCATTCTCCAGGAACGGTCTTCCCAAGAATATACCAAAAGACTATCTGTAAATATTGTGTACACTTTCTTGTTTCAATACATTTTGTTTAAGTACATTTTGTGTTGTATTATTATTATTCCATGCATTAGTCAAGTTTCAACAAATAGTAAAATAAAAATTTCCAGCAATAGATTTTAATAGTAAAATAAAAAATTTCCAGCAATAGATTTTAATACTAAAATAAAAATTTCCAGCAATAGATTTTAATAGTAAAATAAAAATTTCCAGAAATAGATTTTAATAGTAAAATAAAAATTTCCAGCAATAGATTTTAATGATAATAAAATTCCAGCATTAGATTTTAATTGTAAAATAATATTCCAGCAATAGATTTTAATAGTAAAATAAATTCCATCATTAAATTTTAATAGTAAGCTGAGATCCTATCAGTTGTGCCTCTTCCCAGTCTAAATCCACATTGTGTCTCTGGGATGACTCAAGGGTAAATCTTATATGTAGAAACTTTACAAAATCTTTACCCACTGCTTCAAGCAGGCTTATTCCCTGATAGTTTCCACACAACGATTTTTACCGTTTCCCCTTAAACAAGTAGATAATGATCACATAGTCTTGAGGTAGAGGAGCCCCTGACCAAATATCTGTATTCATTTGATGTATCTCTACAGCAAGCTTGTTGCCTCCATAACATAAAACTTTGACTAGAATACCATCAAGACCTGGTGCCTTTCCAGTATTGTTTTTGGGATCTCTTCATCCAACGTCTCATCAATAATATCCAACTTAGAAAGATCCATAAAACATTCAGTCCAGCATTTTATTATCCCTCCCCACAGATCCTGGAAAAAAAATCCTTTGATATGAGTGGTACCATAGACAAGGCCTGTGAACTAAAGGTCTGATTTAATCAGGTGATATAATGTTTTGGAGTCCAATCAAAAGCACCCTGAGCTTGCAAAGGTGTATTTGACCACCTTATAGATACTCCAAGGAACATGATTCTATAACTAATGTCTTGAATTGCTTGGTTAATTTAGTATGAATGGCAAGGCCAACACCCTGCTTATATTTTTCATCCACCCTTTGGATTACCCTTCCAAAGGAAAATGTAGCCAATCCCAGTCAGCCTAATTTCACAGAGTGCAGCTATATCGATATTGTACAGAGCAAGCTCTTTTGTGATTATACCAATTTGGTGTTCAGGATTACTAGACTCTTTGCAGTCAAGAAGTGTTCTGACGTTCCAGCTACCTACCTAGCTTCATTCTATACTTATTGATGGAGTATCTCCTGTTATTGTAAGCCGCCACCAGTCACAGGTTGCTGGCCAGATCGATTGTTAAACAGGCTTTGTTTTGGTCATCTTTTCCAGACTTTTCTCATGTGATATAGGCGAGCAGTTCATCCCTAAAGGAGGCTTCTCAGTGACCCTAGACTCCTCCTCTGAAACATGTTACTGTTTGGTCAACAGTGCAGCACCATTAGGATAAGTCTCAAACACACCTACATGTAGATTCATGACAGCATCCTACCAACCAGTTAGATCGGTACACTTCACCATCCCTCCATCACTATGGTAAAGTGATGTCTGCACATATATATATAAATATTTATTAAAGACATTTTTATGTTTAACGTTCTTTTTTTATAGATACAAGTATTTAAGTAAATGCTCTGTTTTATAATAAACAGTATTAAATAACATTTACCGGCCTGAATGTCTGAGAAATTGTCTACCGAACGCTCCTTTGTGGCCGATCGGTAAGGCACGTCAGCGTAAATGACGGTTCTGTATAGGATGCAGGTTCGAATCCTGTCAAAGGACGAAAATTTTCTATGAAAATTTCTCGGACATTCAAATGGTAAATGTTATTTAATACTGTTTATTATAAAACAGAGCATTTACTTAAATACTTGTATCTATAAAAAAAGAACGTTAAAACATAAAAATGTCTTTAATAAATAAATTGTCATATTAATTTTTTATTTCTTAATATATATATATATATATATATATATATATATATATATATATATATATATATATATATAAATAAAATAGTCCTACATGCATGTGCTATTTATATTTTAGCCTCTCTATTCTCCAAATTATATGTCCAGTACAATGTAGACACAAAACAGTTAGTGGGATTGTATGTGTTATTGTTATGGAGTTTAACCTCTCTACTATGATATCGTAAGGCCTACCCCTGAAAACAGGTAAATGATTTAGAATGGTCTTTCTCTCAAAGTTTGATGGCTCAGAAGCAGCCAGGATTATTTTTTGCTCAGGCTTTTACCCTAACACTATAAATATGATGGACTTTCCCATTGAGTTCGACATATGAGATTCCAATGACAACAAACTCATTATCTGCATTGCCTATGACAGGCATGACTTTTGAGACCGGCTTGCACAAAAGACCACAAACAGTACAGGAGAATGTATTGTATCCAAGTGCAGCAGCAACACTGTTAAATGTCTTATTCTGCTTTCGTGTTTCATGTAGTCAACTGATTTTTACTTTTTCTAGGTGAATTATTCCTGAATGGCATCTGGAACGATACTCTGATCTCTTCATAGCTACCTCTTCAAAGTTCTTGGAATGTTGACGCAAGAAAGGTTGCTTTTCAGTTTATCTTTAAACCTGAGCCAACGTCTACCAACATTTCTATGACCACTATGGAGTTCACTATAAAAAAGAACTTTTGGTATATGATAATCACTTATCCTTGCCACATAGCCAACCCAACGTAGTTGTGATTGCATTATGAAGGTCTCAGTGGTACCAATCTTGCATTTCTCAAAAAGGGTGGCATTTGACACTCGATCTTCAAACATTGGCTTTATGTATATCATAGGGTTGTGGGAAAAAATAAATAAAAATTTGCACTAGAATCCAAGTGTACAAAGCTGTCGTTTTGTCAACTCTTTTGTATGGCTCTGAAAATTGGACACCTTATAGACAACATATTAAACAATTAGATGTCTTCCATAAAAGTTGTCACCATAAATATATATATATATATATATATATATATATATATATATATATATGTGTGTATTTAGGCAGCATTTTTTCATTCATACATGTTTCCTTAAATAATATAGACAAGTGTTGTCTATTTATTTTATGCAAATTCTTTTCATAACATCTGATAAGCTTAATAACATTATCATTAAACGAAGAAAGAAAATCCCAATATGGATCCATATTTTTTAATCCAATCTAAGTTTTCGGCTTACATAAGCCATTATCAAAGATGTCAATTACTGTACAATATATTAAGCAATATGCGGACAAGACAGTGATGATAGTCTGTTATTGTTTACATGGATGATTTCCAAGCAATGATAAACACGTTCATATAAGGCACTAAAAGCAAAAATCGCACCACAGCTCATGACGTCACACATGACCACGCGAGAGTTAATTGGAGAAGTATTAAGTATGGGAAGCCATTGGTATAAACCAATGGCCTCTGTTACCAATTATAGACATTTAAGGATATTTGTAGAGATTCCATAGTTGATTTTGTTTATCATATATATGATAAAATAAACAACATTTTGAGATAGAAATGAAAACAGAAAATAGACAGAGCACTGGTATGCTTGCATCTTTGTTAACTCCTGTTGATCAGATATGTATCATGTGCATTAACACAATAGATAAAATATAAATATATGTGAGGAACATTTTGGATGTTAAAGAGTGTAATGGTGTATAAAGGTGCATGTAATGAAATGCTTGTATGTCAATGATTCCCAGTGTGAGGGGCATGCCCCACTGGTGGGATTGTAATATTTTTGTGTGGCATGCATAGGATGTGCAGCCTTTGGCTTATGTTATTTATATATACATGTATTATTAAGTAAATGCTCTGTTTATATAAACAGTATTAACAACATTTACCGGCCTGAACGTCTAAGAAATTACATAGAAAATATACATCCCCCAAAGGGAATCGAACCTGTATCCTACATGGAACCATCATATAGCCTGACACGCTATACCAGTTTAGCTATGAAGGAGTGTCTGGTTACCACGGTCAATTTTACTGCTTTTAAACAACAAACTTCCCATGATTTCCCTCAAACATCCATATCTACTCAATATTTGTTTACATTAAGATACACTTATAAACAGAGTATTTACTTAAATATTTGTGTATATATAAATAACGTATAACAATAAAATATATTAAATATAAATATATATAATAAAATATATATATCTATAATATATATATATATATAAAAATATATATATCATAAAATATATATATCTATAATATATATATATATTAAAATATGTATATCATAAAATATATATATATATTCAGAATATTAATCCGATTAATGGTGAAATTAATTTATACCATTAAACACATATCTGATTGATTCTATGTATGATTATTTCTTTATATATAAAATATATTTTATTTTAATATAATATATATATATATATATATATATATATATATATATATATATATATATATATATATATATATATATATATATATATATATATATATATATTTGTGTGTGTGTGTGTGTGTGTGAAAAATATATAGAAAATAGAAAGAACTCGTTAGGTAAATAATCCAAAGTTCTTTAGTATTTTTATTTATTTTTTTAAAAATAGTGCTCGATACAAAAAGTAGAGCATAAATATAATTATTATTTAAAAATATGATTCCAACATGCTACATAAGAGTTCTCATGTTTCAAAACAAGAATTTTAAAACTTCAGTATAATTTGCAACCAGACTTAATTGTCATCTTCCACTTTAAATTTGACACCCTTCCCTTACCCTGACTTGACATCTGTGAATGTAACTGAGATATTGATACAAATTATTAACACCTTTCAATTCCTTTTTTGTGTTTAAACAATCGCTCTGGCCGTTAGACCATAGAAATTTTGATTTCAATAATGAATATGCTTATAAAAACACATAAATTTAAGAAATAAGTTATTCCAAAAAAATTCGTTTGAAGATGGAAAGAGTTTTCTTAAAAATTTAATTCAATTTAATTTTAAAAAAAATTATATTGAAGTTTTCGGCTTCTTGTTTTGAAACAGAAATGATGTAGCAAAAAATGGAATCATATTTTTAAATAAATAATTATATATATATATATATATATATATATATATATATATATATATATATATATATAAATAAACTATATATATCTATAATATATATATGTATATATATATATATATATAATTATTTTTTAAAAATATGATTCCTTCGCTATAAGTTTTCTCATGTTTCAAAAACGAGAGCATTTAGCCATCAATATAATTATTAAAATTAAATTGAATTAAAGTAACAAGCCCTGTTTCATCCTCAGTAACAAATGAACATTCTTATAATGATACCTAACTTTCAAAATTGGTTATTCCTAAATTTTCCCTGATTATGACTTTCTTAAGTCATCATCAGGGCAAGTCGAGATGAATCGTGAGTTTTTCTAGAACTATTGAATGTTGTGACATAGGCAAAGAGTATTGTGACATAGGCAAAGTGTGTTGTGACATAGGTAAAGTGTGTTGTGACATAGGCATGTATGACATTTTTTTTTTATATTTACAATTGAGGATGCAGGCTTTTAAATTATAATTGTTTTCATTTATAGATGGTTGTTTTTGTTACATGAATATTTTTTTAATATTTGATTTTGCTTGTATTTTGGTATTGCTTATGAGTAGCTAATATTACTAATTACTAATTATTACTAATATTATGATAATCCTTACGGTGCTTATTAATGCATTGTTTGATAGCACTCTGGTCCAGTAGGTGCCAGGTGAGTCTCCGTGACAGTGTGGTTGTGGTATATACTATATAAGACACTTTGTGGTTTTTATTTACAGACAAATTTCTAATGAACAATTTAAAAACACTTTCTGTGAGAATTTCCTCCTTATCAGAGAAGGGTTATTTGTAATTTGGAAAAATCAAACAATAAAATTAATCAACACAAAATGTCTGTTGTTTTTAATATATATATATGTGTGTGTGCGTGTGTTTGTGTGTGTTGGAAAAAAAATTTCACTATTTTCTCATGGCATATATATATATATATATATATATATATATATATATATATATATATATAAAAAAGGCATGGGGGAGTATTGGATTGAGGAATTGGAGAGTCGAGTTTGAATTCCAGTCGAATCCATTACATTCACTTACATGCTAATATCCTTCAAAAAGTGTGTTTGATTCTGCACAAAGCCTTCATCACTATAATCAAATCTGTTTGCTGGTGTCTGGGCTGTCGGTTCCTAGGATCTGAGCCACTTGACCCTCATACGTTGAATACGACACAGAGAGTCCACCACCACCACCATGTATATATATGAGTAAAACAGTCTGTTAATGGGTAAATAAAAAGGAAATGTTAATAAAATGTTCTAAAAACCTCTTTTAAAAGTATTTTAAATAGAGCACGCTTATAGACATAAGGAGCAAGTATATATATATATATATATATATATATATATATATATATAATCATCAAAGGTTGATATGTTCAAGCTTGAGAGCCACTACTGCTTACAAAGAGAAGGTTCAATATGTGAGACTTATACAGGTGTATCAAAAGACAGAGAGCTGAGTGATTTCATTTTCATTGAATTACTTACATTGCCATTGGTGAATGAGAAAGAACGACCATTTTGTTTTATCAATTCTTGCATTTTTTTTTTTCCTTTTCAGATCTTACCAACGACCCTTGAACTGCTGCTAAGGTTTATCTTGCAAAATAATGTTCTGATTATTGTTGCATTGCCATTATTTAATTTTATTCTGATAGCCATCAGAAGATCATTCTGCCACTTTTTACAAAGTTTTACAAAATAGCCATCTGCATGTTTTTAATTGGCATCATCTGCAAAAAAATCTAATCAGATATTTTATTAAACAAAACAGGGTGCGATGGATTTTATTGTCGTCAGAATTATCTTTAAGAAATAAGCCTAACAACTCATTTTACCATTTATTATTTTTTTAACAATTTTAATAATTATATATTTAAAAAAAAGTGTATTTATCAATTTCTGTTCCTATCTATCTATCTATCTATCTATCTGTATGTCTGTCCTCAAAAAAAATATATATATATATATATATATTTGTGTGTGAATATATAAAAATGTCGTATATATATTTATGTAAATGAAATGTATGTAAAACCTAAATTTTTCGTCTAAATTTCATTTTAAAAAATTAAATCATTTACTTATTTAACATTTTTATTTTTTATTGTTTAATTTTAATAATTATATATTTACCAAAATTAAATCTATTTATCAATTTCTGTTCATATCTATCTATCTATCTATCTATCTATCTTTCAGTCTATCTGTATGTCTGTCTATCTAACTATATGTGTATATATATAGATATATATATATTTGTGTTTGTATATATGTGTGTGTGTGTGTGTGTGTATATATATATATATATATATATATATATATATATATATATATATAATATGAAAAATTTATAGAAAATAGGAAGGAACTGGTTAGGTAAATAATACAAAGTTCCTTAGTATTTTAGTTATTATTTTTAAAAAATAGTGCTCGATACAAAAGTAGAGCATAAATATAATTATTTATTTAAAAATATGATTCCAACTCACGACATAAGAGGTCTCATGTTTCAAAACAAGAGCCGAAAACTTCAATATAATTATTTAAATTAAATTAAGCTAAAATAAGCTCTGTTCCATCTTCAAGCAAAATATATATATAGGGTGCGATGTATAAATTGTCATCTAAATTATGCAAAAATGAAAATAACAGTGACATCACATTTTAACAGATATATTTACCAAGATTACACAAAAATACCTATTAATACTAAAGAGTAAATTTATTCAATAAAATTGCCATTGGCTTCAACCACGGTTGACAGACAATTTCAGAATGTGGTTGCAGAAATTGTCTGACGGCCATGACTGGGTTCTCCTTTTTGTGTGGCATGGTGCAGAGTCTTCTTGCTAGACATAGGGTTCCTCTTGACCCAGGGCAGCACTACCTTGTCAAGGCACTTGATCTAGGTCTCTGTGGAAAGATGAATGGAGGCATAACATTTACATCACTAGTGATCAATCCAAACACCATGATGTCGACTGGATATATCATCCAACTCCTTCTGAATCATCTGTAGTGTCCTCAATTGACACCCAAACACTATGAAATGTTCATATTGGAACTTCTGGCATGAATACCAAGCAGTACAATGTACCTTCTGACAGAATGAATTGCATCATGGTGTTCTTTATCTCACAGAGGGTGCCCAACTGACCCTATTATACTGTTGACAAAATCAAAAACAAACAATGCACAAAATTAAAAATATAAAATTACAACAATTTATTCATCGCACCATGTATGTTCACTTTCACACTAATACCCTTAAGAAAGGCATGGAACCATTTCTTTCTCTCCTTAACCAGTAGACTAAGCTTTAGAGGCTTGGTTTATGAAGTGGGATTCCTTAGCCCTGACGTCATTGTTTTCAACATCATGCCCACCTATCACAACTATGATGCTAGTGAGTATAATGGATTGTCATGATTTTATTTTAGCAAAGGACGACCCAATGAAGATTATTTAAATTGACTAGAAATAACTCGTCACCTTCTCCACATTTTTTGAATTCAGAATTATCTCTTCTAGACTGGTTGCCAAACAAGTTTTGAGAACCCAGTCTGCTATGCTGCTTGACCACAAGCTTCAGGTCAGGGAGGGAAGAGCTCATGCCATATCACATATAACTTTATACACTCAGTAAATATCTTGGGTGCTTCACTGTACAATTATAATTAACAAGTTCATTTCACTGATTGTTGTGTTTTTTTTTTGCTGAGAGCTCTATTGCTAGAACCTTGTGTCATACTAGGCTAAGCTCAGTAAATAGCCATAAGTTATTTTTTGGCTGGCTAAGATGGTTTATACATTTCCTCCTTGCAGGCTAGAAATTTAAACTCTGATTTTCTAGGCAGGTTGTTCTCACATGCCAGATCCCTAAACCTTGTGCCATACTAGACTAAGTTAAATAATTATAATCATTAAATTTCTATATGTTATATATTTTTAAAATGCGTATGATTAAAGATGTGGTTTATTCTCCTCCTTAATTTCAATTCTTTGACTCCTTTTGCATAAACCAGGAAACCTTCTTGGCATGACATGAATGTTCTTTATAATAACCTCAACCCTAAGAAAAAGGGTTTTGTAATGACTAATTGTAATGCCTAATTTGCATAAGTGCAAGAGAAAGCCTATGTAACTCATCACTAAGAATAATGTGAGATGAAGACAAGCTTAGTGACTGACTAGTGCTAAACTTCTTCACATCAGGTTTATTCCTTGTTTTCATTTTCATCAATGAAAAGACATTCTCATCTACCTCTCTTTCTATTAATAATATGTGTCTTCCTAATTTCTCCAGAAAGAGATAAAATTATTTCCAAATTTGTTTTCATCAATGAAAATATATTTGTTTACCTAAATTCTCAACAAAGAAACCGTTTTCCATCCCTGGGCTGGTTACCATCTCAATGATAACACAGGCCAAACCACCTGCCTGTTATAATGGATCGATTTTCATAATCTTAACCTTTGCAGTTGGTTTGTTCTCTGTTTTCATTCCTCAATTCATTTTGGCTAACAAAAATATAATTCTCATCTGCTTTTCTGTTCACCAATTACATGTGTTTTCCTAATTCCCCAAGAAAGAAAATTGTTCTCCAAATCTTTTTTTGTCCACATGCCAGACTCTTGATAGATACGAAAAATAAACTTTAGGAGAGAAGAAATCCAGTTCCATTCTAACCAAAGAAAATGTCTCCACTCTCTTTATCTCTAACTTCCAGCCTATATTTCATTTTCGGCTGAACACTTTTTTTTTCTGCTTAGAATTAATATTTAATCACCTCACAGCCTCAGTGTCACACAAACATATGACTATAACTTCGTATTAATAGAAAATTTCATGAAACTTAAAATGGGAGATCAATTTTCTATTGTTATTAAGTAATAAACCAATCCCTCAGAATAAGTACATATTATACTCATAGCTTTTTGAATACTTCTATCAAGGAAATACAAGCAGTTTCTCATTTTAATCATAATAATTTTGTTCTATTCTCTGGTCAATATATTTTTTTTTTTTTTTTACCCAGCATAGGGATTGAACTTAAATCCTCCTACTTATAAAAACTGATATTTTGTTTTAGTAACCTCTTTCCCCTGCTTAATTCAGATGGATTCAGCCCCAAGTAGCTCAATTTAAGCGAGTTGTTTTTCTCTAGAAATTTTAATTTGACTTAAAATTGGGCTTTTCATTTTCTGTTCTTATTAAGTAATAAATGAATTATAATCATTAAATCTTTATATGTTATAGTGATTTTCAAGCATAGCTCAGGTGTGACACAAGGCCGAAAGTATGGGGCACCCAGTGAGGATGGAATTCACTATTCAGTCGCAATTGTTCTAGAGAGACAAGCTTGTTAACCATTACACCACATCGAGGTGATCAAGCTTTATATGTTATATTTCTGTGCATACATGCATTTGAATAAAAAAACTTTGTTTTTCTTTAAACAGTATAATGTCTACCCACCTATGCAATAGAAAGTCTTAAATGAAGAAAGTCTACATGTGTTCATAAAATGTCACATTTATACTAATTAACTAGTGAAAATTTCACAGTTTTCCTATTTGAAATTTCTGATGCATCTTAATTCTTTAGTTAATGATTGAATAAGCTCATGGCGAGTTCTACAAATAATAAAATATCTGTAGAAATTACCCTATCACATTGTTAAATATTTGAGCTTAACAACTTTAACAAAATATTGCAACAATCATTAATATGAATTCTGGTCATTATTTTAAGAAGTAAGAGGGTACAAATTAAAAAAATCTGAAATTAACATTTTTTTACATTTCACTGAAACAGCCGTTAAACACTTTTATCTTCATTTCTTTCTTACTTTCTTTCATTTCCTCACAAATCAAGTAATGTCTTTTTCCCCTCTTCCACGCAATGAAAAAGGAATAGTTCATTATTCGTGAAGTATTGGCAGGAGACATTAAATACTTCCATCTTCCTTTATTTCTTTCTAGCCAAATCTCCATCTTACAAATATTTTCGATTTTGTCAAGAATCTTGAGCTTTTTAGTAACAGAATAAGATGGCATCAGTATTTAATGTCCGGATAAATGGTAGATTTATAAATGCTCAAGATGGATTCTGTCGAGGAGAATCGTCTGACTCGATACACTGAAATTTTATTAATAACACAAACTTAATTCTTATTAAGTTAATGATTGAATAATCTCATGGTGAGTTCTACGACAATAAATTATTAGTAGAAATTCGCCTATCACATCTTATTTAAACTTAAATATTTAAGTTTAACAACTTTAACAAAATATTGCAATAACAGTCATAAATATGAATGCTGGTCATTATTTAAAGAAGTAAGAGGGTACAAATGAACAGATTCAAAACTGACAAGGTTTTCCATTTCACTGAAGCAGACATTAAATACATGAGAATGTTATCGCCTCCTCTATCTTTCCTCTCCTTCCTTCACTAAAACCAAACAGCACCTTTGATATATGTTGTCTACTGTTTTGTGAGCTATTGGAGGTCTCATCTCACAATCAGACAGGAATGGTCCATTGTTTATCTGAGACAATGGCAGGGCATAACATATGTGCAAAGGAATAAGCAGAATTCTATAACGATGTGTTAAAATATTATCCCTTCTTTCTTTCAGTCAACTACACCGTCTACAGAACCTATCCAAGCTGCCACTGTTCAACCATTTCTCCGAGATCCTGAGTGGTTTGAGAACAATTCGTGCCTACAGGTAAAATTCAGATGGAAATCCTTGCAAAAATATATTAATTAAAAGTGAGAGCCATTGGAAAATTTAAATCATTAATTTGTTTTTGTCAAATTTATCAAAAATCATTTACCAAAAATCATAAAATAAAAAATGTAATTAAACTCAGATATTATTTAATTAGAAAAGCTTTTAATTTCTTTTATAAGTAAGATATGTTAAGGACACTATTGTCTTAAGAAAACTTTTTTTTGATGAATAATGACTTTTTACAAAAATTGTTTTAATTTTTAAAAAATTTTAATTAGAAAAATTTATTAAGTTTATAATTCTGTATTAATTTCAACAACTGAAAACTATATTTACTAATCATAAATGGAAAGGCTTAATACAAATCAACAAACACTGATATTTTTAAAAGAATTTTGAATTTTTTTGTATGTGTATAAACGTACAAATTTTTGTAAATACATATTTTGTAATACATGACATTATCAAAAAATTAGAGAAATGATTTTAGTAAATTTAAAGCTGAAATTTCTAAAATTCAATAAAACATTAGAGAATAATTTTATAAAGTTTAAAAAGTTACTGAGTACTTAAAAAAATTATATAAAAAAGGTGCTTTTCTTCAATTATGTTTTATAGTCTCCATAGAACAACATTAAATCTGTCAACACGCTGTCAAACATCATAGAACAACATTAATTCTGTCATCATTCTGTCAAATATCATAGAACAACATTAAATCTGTCATCATTCTGTCAAATATCATAGAATAACATTAAATCTGTCATCATTCTGTCAAACATCATAGGACATCATTAAATCTGTCATCACACTATCAGACATCATAAAACAACATTAAATCTGTCACCATGCTATCAGACATCATAAAACAACATTAAATCTGTCATCATGCTGTCAAATATTAACAAAGCTACTGCAAATTAAAAAAAATATAAATTCATTTTAAAGGATATCTTTGAGTTATTAACAGGAATATTTTCTGTGGAATCGGATTGGTTTGGTTGTTTTTGTTTTAGTGGCATATCAACCTATTTGGGTTATCTAAATATTTTATACTGAACGTTATTTTATTTTTTTTGAGATAATAATGGTTTTTACTGATACAATCTTACTAATTAACCCATAGCTGGGAGGAGAAGAAGTGGATTTCTGCATAAGCAAATATAATGAACCCAACGTGAATTGGACCTTGGCTCTCTGATTAACAATTCTGAGTCATTATTCAGTACATTATCAGCACATTCAAGCTTACAGCACTGGGTATTACCCAATGGTTAACCATCTAGATACTGATCAGCCTTGACATTGCTTAACTTTGCTGATCATACAGGAACCAATGTTTCAATGTGATGTGTAAGACACACCATCTGCGCATCCAAGCTTACAGTACCTGGTATTTCCAAGCAGTCACCCATGTGGGTACTGATCTGGTTCGACATTGCTTAACTTTGGTAATTGTACAGCCTTCCAGCTTATATTTCATTTTGAGCTTTGCACTTTTTTCTGCTTAATGTGAAGAAACAGTTGAAAAGGAGTCACATCAATCACAAATCGTTTTAAAAGATTATACTGAAAATAAAATGAAACAATTTTGTCATCTTATGAAACTTACAAATTCCTTGCTTGATATTGGCGTTTTAATTTGATTTTTCAAAATAAAACCATTTTTTTAATCCTATAAAAATCAGAAAGCACACCCTAATAAATACATTATAAGAAAATTAAATCCCTAATATTTTAAATGTGGTATTTGAAAATACCACTGTATTAATACTGTGACAATACTCCAAAGTACAAACAGAGGTTTTTAAAGAAATGAAACCTTGAGAATGGGAAATTTTGAACTTATAAAATTTATTTCATTATTTCTACATTTTTTTCAATGTAGAAATAATGAAATAATTTCCGTTCTTTTTAATAATTTCCTCCCAAGAAGGCAAAGGTCCTGGATTTGACAATAAAAGACATCTGGCCGCACGGCTTCTGATCAGGAGGTTTTGAGGAGTGTGGAACTATATCTTAATTGCTGGTGTTTCCAAGTTCACCCTGACCTGGGGTGGTAACACCTGTTAGGGTCACAGCTATGGGCAAATAGTTAACCCCCAAACTGGGGTCAAAATAGGTTTTAATATCAGAATACATTTTTTGTAAAAAATTATTACGAACAATAAATTTTTCAAGAAAAAATTAATTATTACTGGCAATTCATCATTATCAGCAATACTTTTTGGGAAAAAATATTACCAGAAATACATTTTTGGGAAAAAATATTACCAGAAATACATTTTTGGAAAAAAATATTACCAGAAATACATTTTTGGGAAAAATATTACCAGAAATACATTTTTGGGAAAAATATTACCAGAAATACATTTTTGGAAAAAAATATTACCAGAAATACATTTTTGGGAAAAAATATTACTAGAAATACATTTTTGGAAAAAATATTACCAGAAATACATTTTTGGGAAAAAATATTACCAGAAATACATTTTTGGGAAAAAATATTACCAGAAATACATTTTTGGGAAAAATATTACCAGCAATACATTTTTGGGAAAAAATATTACCAGAAATACTTTTTGAAAAACTATAACAAGCAATAAAAATGTTGTTGGCATGAAACAAATTGTACAAAATTCAATAGAAATGCTTTATTATTTCTTCTCTTTTCTATTTTCAGGGTCCAATATTGGTTTACTGGTTACGTGACGCATGCAATTGATGTCTTTAATGTCGTCTTTATATACATCTATGCTATGAATCGCTGGTTAGCTGTCCGCCTTGTAAGTTAAACTTTTATTTGAAATATTTTGGTGTTATTCAGACAGATTCAATACTTTTCCAAGAAGGGAGAATTATCAGCAAAGATTTTAAAGTTTAAGTATATTTCCTTGTTTTCATAATTCAATAATTATTCAGACTAGTATCTTCATCTTTGTTGTTTTGATCACTACATTTTGGCCAATGCATTCTCCTGCCTTCTTGTATCGTCTGAATATCTGAGATGCATTTTGGTCTTAGATTTCATGAATTATTCAGACTAATATCTTCATCTCTGTTCTTTTGATCACTATATTTTGTCCAAGTGAAAGAGAATGAAAAGACTTTAGAAGGAACTGGAAACCCAATCCAAAACAGGAAACAAGGAATAAACCTCTACTACTGTTCAAAAGAATGGGGAGAAGTGCGAACTGGGCAATAGGCGAACCTATTTACTCCATTGAGGAAAAATAAATAAATCATACTTATTATAAAACCCAGGTTGTGTGTGTGTGTGTGTGTGTGTTTCTGTTCATTTATATATTGGATCGGATTTCCTACATTTTTCAACTGATTTCACCAAAACTTCACAGGACTACGTAAAATTACCTTGCAGTGGTTCTGACAGCACCAAAAATTGGAAAAACACAATTGTTTTTGCACAAAATCAATTTGAAAACACGATTAAGTCGCCAGAATGAAAGGGGGACAACTCATATCGAGTTATACTTATTATAAAACCCAGGTTGTTTGTGTGTGTGTTCATTTATATATGGGATTGGTTTCCTACATTTTTTCAACCGATTTCAACAAAACTTCACGTTTTTTTTTGGCAGGTAGTTTTCTTATTGTCTTGCACACTTTTTTTCTTTATTTTTACATTCAGAATGCTTTTAAAAATTCCATTTACAAGACAATTGTTTATAATAAAATTCTATTCAATCGATAGACTCATAACGATTGAAAACAATGTTTTTGTTTCAGTTTGGGTTTGACCAATTTGTAAAAAAAAAAAAAAATAATTAAAACATGCATGTCCGTCAACCTTAAACAATAATCTTTGTCAATTTTGTTTTTCAGTCTTTATTATGGTTGATACTTGATCTATCTCTTACTGTTACATCCCCGGGCAACGCCGGGCTCTACTGCTAGTTGTTAATAAAATAAAAGTACTGAGTTTTTGGCGGACATATTAGAAGTATAAATTTGAAGTAGACTTTATAAGGAACCGGAAACCCAATCTTAAACATGAAACAAGGAATAAACCTCTACTACTGTTCAAAAGAATGAGGAGAAGTGTGAACTGGATGATAAGTGGATCTATCTACTTTTTTATTTAAATTCATTATATATATATATATATTCAAGGAATCAATAAAAGTTCAAATTTCAATGGACTTATCTCACTGACTGACTCTACTGGTCTAAAATATGTTAATTTTTCTTCACATTTATTATGATAATTATATATATATATATATATATATGTAATATTTTAAGATATTTTATTGTTATACGTTATTTATATAGACACAAATATTTAAGTAAATGCTCTGTTTTTATAATAAACAGTATTAACAACATTTACCAGCCTCAACATCCAAGAAATTTTCATAGAAAATATATGTCCTCTGACAGGAATTGAACCTGTATCCCATACGGAAAGCAGTAAAATCATCCTTGCTAACATGACACTCCTCTGTAGCTAAACTCGTATACATCAGGCTATATGAGACCTTGCAACCAATCTAGTACTGAGCTTAAATTCATATAGTCTAGGTACCATAGCAAGGAGCTCACTGAGCAATTACTATAAAAGTATTTTGAGAAATGGCACAGGGAAGCTATATTTTGGTGGTGGAAAAGCAACTGAAGCCAAGATGTCAGGTCAGGACCAATAATATTGCTGATCTCTGTTCAAGGTTTAAATGATTCCATATTGTTGCTTGTCATCATTTCTTCTATTTTCTTTTCAGGACATTCTTGGCTGCCTTATAATGTTCACAGCATCTCTTGGCAGTCTCGCCTTGTCTGTGAATAACGGTGGAAATGGCACCCTGGTTGGACTCTGTCTGCTTTACGTCATCATGGTAAAGTCCTAAAATTTTTTTTTTTGTTTTTTTGTAGGATTCAGGTTAAATTAACCCTAAAGTGAGAAAAAGTAAAGTGAATAAACGTTGAATTACTGTCAAGAGATGTTGTTTTTGAAGGTTTCATCTTTTCCCTGATAAATAGACCCTCTAGTCTTTCCCTTAGTTTCTTCAGGATTGTTCCCTGTGGCCCGTTAACAAATGGAATGACTGTCACAACATTATTATTATCAGAAGAAGACACTTTTAATAACCATAGGTGAGATTGGAAAGTTCTCGGCCTAATTCACTTCTCAAAATCAGAATTTTTAGAGAGAACGGCTTCTTAGTTGAGCTGAAAATTATACAGCACTCCTGTAACTGTTGATGTGTTAATGGTTATTGCTGAAAGAATCTATCAAACTTTAGATAAGAATGGTGAAGCTCAGGTTGTTGACTTTGGTTATCTCAAAAGCATTTGACAGGTTTCGGCATACTGGTCTTCTTCACAAATTGAGAGGTTATGTTTAGGTAAAATTTCTTTCTCATCAAATTGTAAAATGAGAGTCATCTTGAATGGCCACTCTTCTAGATCTTTTTGCATTAATGCAGGTTCCTTGCAACTACACTGTTCCTAATTTTCATTAACAACCTTCCCAATGTCATCAGTTCTCAACTCAGTATCTATGCTGATTTAACAAATATTAGTCGTATCTTAAAAGTAAGCCTGATCAGTTTGATAAAGTCAGATTGGTAGCTGATCTCAAAAACGACCTACAATTTGTTGTTAACTGAAGCAAGAAATGGCTTGTTAATTCTAAATTATTCTCTTTAAATAATCAGAGAGAAAGTTTTTGCCTTCTATCACCATGGCTAACCTCCAGGAGAATGATTTATTACACCTTCTCAAACATGTAATTTATTTTAAAGGTTATGCAAGTGTAAAAAGGTGAAATGCTGGTCTAGAGGGATACCTTTCTGTTTCTGTCATGGATTAATGTGTGATAAACCCCACTTTTTGAGGATACATTTCTGAGACCAGATTTCTTTCATAAAATAGAGCATTAGATAAGAATGGTCAAGCTCTGGCTGTTGACAGGTTATCTCAAAGGCATATTGGTCTTCTTCACAAATTGAGAAGTTATGATATTTCTGGAGGAATTTTTGATCTGATTCAACCTTTCTCATCAAATTGTAAAATGAGTGTCATCTTGAATGGCCACTCTTCTAGATCTTTTTGCATTAATGCAGGTTCTTGCCAGGGTTATATCCTTGGAACTACATTGTTCCTAATTTTCATTAACAACATTCCAAATGTCATCAATTCTCAACTCAATATATGTTGTGAGTTCAATACCTGACTACTGCAGAGGTGAACAAAAACAAGGAAAGTTGACTTAAAGAGAGATAACTGGAAGAGGCATGACATGCAGAACTAGAACAATCTACCCCTGTGGATGAAATAAAGGGTTCAGTTCAAAATTTCAATCACCCAAAGAAGGCCAGAGTGTACAACAACCAAAATGTCATGAATATGACAATAAAGATGAGGGCAACAGTCTGAAATCTTTGTAAATAAGTACAATACCTCATCTCAGAAATATAGACAAATATATATATATATATATATATATATATATATATATATATATATAAAATGTGTGTATATATATATATATATATATATATATATATGTGTGTGTGTGTGTATTTTTAATTTTAATTTTTTACTAGGATCTGTGATGGAAATGTTAGTATTTATTAATATGTTTTAGGATATTTTCATTTTGTTTATAATTAGAATGTCTTTTGTTGCGATATAAAAGATTAATATGTTTGCAGTTAGTTAAAGAAATATTATAATTGCTTTGTATTTAGTTTCTAATCGAATGTCTTATCCTCTTATCGACAATATAATCAAGGAAGTTATTATTAATAAGAATTTGTTTTATATTTTTTAGTTCATTTTAGAAAATCTGTTTTGAATTCCTTTTTGCACGATTTATTATGTTTTTATATCAGGTCATCCCATAAGTTCTGTTCGAATTTTAACTTTTTGTTAAAATGAACGAAATTTAAAGAGTATTTTATAATGTCTAATGGAGCTGAACATTATTTTTATGTTTAGATGCATTTAAACTGATCAAATTTTATTTCAGAGAACAATAAAATTAAATTTTGTTTTTGATTAAAACCCTGCTAACATGGAAGTACCCAAGAATCATTTGAGGCACATAATGCTTTATGAGTTCAAGAAAGAAAACTCAGCAGCCGAAGCGGCTAGAAACATTCACTCAGTTTATGGAGAGGAATGTGTGAATGAAAGAACTTGCAGAAGATGGTTTGCAAAATTCAGAGGTGGAGATTTCACCCTTGAAGATGAAGATCGAACCAGACGTCCAGTTGAGTTTGATGAAAAGCTTCTTGAAGCAGTCCTTGAAGAAAATCCTGCTTTATCAGTTGAGGAATTGGCAGTGGTTCTCAGTTCAAACCATACAACTGTTCATCGTCATCTTCAACAACTTTGAAAAGTTACTAAACTTGGAAAATGGGTGCCTCATGAATTGTCTGAAAACAACCTCTCCATTCTCGCCAACTTGTTTCACCTTTTTTGGATAGATTTGTGACTGGCGACGAAAAATGGATCTTTTATCGAAATGTTAAGCATCGTAGACAATGGCTTGGTAAAGGAGAAGGACCCCAGCCACAGCCGAGAATGGAACTTCATGAGCAAAAAGGTTCTTCTTTCAATCTGGTGGGATCGCCAAGGAATAATCCGCTTTGAATTCTTACCACCTAATGCAACAATTAATGCTCAAATATATTGTCAGCAATTAGAGCAAGTCACAAAATTCTGGTGTTATCATGATCAGTTTAAGTTGGGTACACTACGACTGCATTGTCTTGGCAGCTGAGTTTTCATTTGAATGATATGTCCAACATTTCTAAATATTTACAACAGCATACCTGTCCACAGTCACAATTCATAAAAATTCTTGTTGAAAATACATCTATACTTTTTCCTGAAAATTATAAACATAATTTAAAAATTCTCAAATTTATCTATATTAAAAATCTTAAACCAAACCTTGATAAAATCAAATATGAATACTGCACAAATGTTTTAAAATATATACAATAAATAGTTTAAAATATCAGGCTTGCACTAATAGTTTTAATACTTATTTCTTATAAATTCTCAACACACCATACTTAGTTACCTCCCCTGAAGTGGTAGTCAAGCAATTATGTACTCACTCAGTCTTCTTCACTTCACAAGAAATTTAACTTTCAGATGAACACAGCAATTTTGTCTTTGAAAATGATGAACACTGCAATATTTGTCTTGAAATAAACCACACCCTGATGATGACATTGTGCTATGTCGAAAGTACTTGGAATAAAACAATATGTATCAACATGCTGATTTTTTTCTCTTCCTTCAATAATGACACCAAAAGGCTTGTCTGTGAATATGAAAGGATCCAATTGAAAATAAGGCAAAACTTGTCTTAATTATTCAATGAATGTCTCAATGAAAACATGCTGCCAAAATATATGCAAAATGCATATATATATATATATATATATATATATATATATATATATATATATATATATATATATATGGGTTTAATGCAAATTAATTTTGTGACTGAGCTGATTAATATCATATTCAGCACTTCAACTCAGCAGTTTCATTGACAAACTTTTTTGTAATCATTCTGCCCACTTGTCAGGATGTATCAGCAATGTGCATATTATTGTTGATTGAAACTAACTTTTAGGATATGACAATCTGTTGTTAACTGGTGCAAGAAATGACCTGATAATTTTGACACTCCAAAATGAAACTGCTCTATTTTTAACTATCATTTTTACTTTCCATCAGCATGGCTTCTGTTAACGTAATATTGTTAAACACACTGTGTTTTCTTTCCTTTTTGAAATTGCACTCTTCACTAAATGTTACAAAATATTGGATTGATATGAAATATCAGAACAAATTATTAAAATGGAATATGTGAAAAACCAGTTTGATGTTTTTTTTAAATTATTTTAATACACAGTATTTAGGTGTTTGAAAATTATTTATCTTCTTTTTGACATTTCACTCATTTTATGAGAGCATTAACAAATTTTCTTTAGATGTTTTCTGTTATATTTTGATAATGTTCTCATAATACTAGCAAAATGTCAATAAGAAAATAAAAATTTGAAACATCCAACTAGTTTTCATGTATTCCATCTTTTATTTTATTCTTAAAACATGTATATGTATGTGTATCAATATCTGTTTTATATCATGTTTATATCCACTCATAATATGTATATGTGTTTGTGTGTGTCAATATCTCTTTTATATTATATGTTTATATCCACTCTGCAACCAGCTTTAGGAAATCTGCCTTTTTGTCTTGTAGGCTCCAATTTATCTTAACATGATTGCCCGTCACATGTCTGAACTTGACAACAACGTCTGCTCTCTGGAAAGGGTGATTGAATATGCTTCTGAGACTCCACCCTCAATTGACCCCCCAGGTGAGCCCTACATATTCTATGTTTTTGTCTAAATACATTTTCCATGATTCCAAGTTTAAATAATTCGGCCATACTTACCTGACCTTCATTGATTGTCCATCAAAAATATTTTAGTTTGTAAAAGATGTCCTAAAATCTTCTTTTTATACAAAAGTTCACCCAATACAAGGGTTACTGTGTGGTGTTGTACGAATATAAGATAAGGCAAGAAGTGCTGTTCAGCGGGCTATGGAGGAAAGATAATGTTAACCTTAGACTTGAAGAGTGTTGTGGAGTTATTTCACAGTGCAGGCTTGTATTTGTACTAAATCGGTCCTAATATAATTTGACGTACAAAACGTTAGGAACTTGATATAATAGGTATTACGCAGAGTAATTTTGTTGTGGTCGCTGACTACTTTCATATTCAACTAACTATTGACTATTGTCATCCAACATCGACTGACCCTTGTTTCTCTTACTACTCCTACTTATATTAGGTGGGAGAGTCTATTAACTATAGAATAGGTGTGTTTCACCATAACAAAAAGGTCAAGAATTTGGGAAATCCTCCTGTTGGCAGTTTGTTCCACAAAGCAGCTGTTCTTGAGAAGAAGTTGTCTGAATAGAACTTACTTTTCATTATAAGAATACAAAGGTAAAAGGGATGAGTCACCTATTTTTGCATGTGGCCTGGCAGGTCGCAGTTATAAAGGTCAGGGCTGGTGAGTCTAAGGAACGTAGCTCATCAGAACACTTGCCATGAAAAATAATTATAACTTTAATTCCTTCAAAAAGGTTTCAGCCATTGTATGCTCTGGTTTTCTTCTTTGATTGGAATTTTGAACAATAAATTATTTCATCCACTTATAGATTTTTCTAGTTCCACGTTTGACCCCTTTTATATCTCAGTTATTTTCCTTTAACTTGATTCTCAAAGTTTTTTCCACCAGTGGATAAAACGTTGGTTAGATCCAAAAGACTAGACCCAAGAGAGTTGTGAGTTCAATACCAGGCCATTTAAAATTTTTGAACCAAAATATTTTTTGAGTTAAAAGAAAATTTTTGAGACATCTTGAAGAGGCATGGCATGTGAATATTTAATAGGAACAAATATTTTGGATGAAATAAAGGGTTCCATTTGTTTTCTATTCCAATCATTTGAAGAAGGCGCATTGTAAATGGCTGAAATTCAAAAATGTGAATATTTTTTTTCAACAATGCCGAATTTCAATAATGCATTTAATCATATTTATTTTTTACTCAGAATATAGACAGATAAGTTTTTCAAATTATTTTATTTATTTACCAAAATTAAGTATGGCATCACTAAATGACAGAAATAAAAAGCTGTATCTTTTTTTAAATGTCTGGACTGTCCATCAAAAATATTTTAGTTTGTAAAAATGTCCTTTTTTTTCCAAATTTTTTATACAAAAGTTCACCCAATACAAGAGTTACTGTGTGGTGTTGTACGAATGTAAGATAAGGCAAGAAGTGCTGTTCAGAGGGCTATGCAGGAAAGATAATGTTAGCATTAGATTTAAAGAGTGTTGTGGAGTTATTTCCCGTTTATAGAGGCTTGTATTTGTTTAAATTTGATAATTAATTTGAAGGCCGTGAATAAAAATCTTGATGTTTATCCCTTCAGAACGCATTTAGTGAGCTTGAGTAAATGGATGACAGAACAAGGTTTAGGAGAAACAACACAAAGACAAAATTTATTAAAAAGAACTTTTTTTTCTTTTGATCCCCCAATTTATGTTCTGCACATTCCTTGCATCTGAATTTAGACAAGAAAAATAATGGATTGTCTTCCTGTTGCTTTTTTCTATGGTTTTGAATTCAGAGTTGCGTAAACTTGGATGCCACCCCTGGCTTGTAGACCCAGTCTACCTTTTTATCTAACATATAACTGGATTGGGATTTATTGAGAATGTGTTTTAGTCTTTCCCTTTGAAATGAATGCAATGATTATTTTTTTGAACTCAGATCATTTCATCCAATTTTTGTGCCATTGTTAATTTGCAAATGATTTTTTTAAAGTTTTTACATAAAACAATTTCTACTTCTTTATTGCTATTTAAAATTGGAAATTTTTTTTTGTATCTGTTGTTCATGGTTTGATTGGTGGGAGATCAAATGATATGCTTTCCAATTTTTTTTTGGTTGGGATTAAGGGTTCAAAAAAAAATTATATTTGGTTGGTAATTTTTTCATCCCAGCTCGCAAAAATGATCAAAATCATTGACTGACTCTCTCTTCTTTCTTTTGTTTTTCAGACTGCATCGATATTCATGAAACCTGGCCTGACATGGGCGATATTCAATTTCGGCATATTGCACTCAATTATGACCCTGAACAAAGTCCCGTGGTCCGAGATGCAACTTTTACCATCAGAGATGCAGAAAAAACCACCAAATTTTAGACTTCAAATGTTGAAAAATTAATTTTATTTAACATTTTTAAGAAAAGTAATCTTTCTTTTAATAGATTTTTTCCTGACTAAAAAACAATAGAAAACCGATCCCTCATTTTATGTCCAGCAAAAATTTATAATAATGTATAGTAATTGTAGAGGGATCAGTTTATTACTTAATAACAATAGCAAACCGATCTCTCATTTTATGTCCAGCAAAAATTTATAATAATGTATACTAAATGTAGAGGGATCAGTTTATTACTTAATAAAAATTTTTGTTGACCGACCCTCATTTTATGTCCAGCAAAATTCATTAAATAATAATGTATACTAAATGTAAATTTTGACAACTATTATTTACTGACAATAGAAAACCGATCCCTCATTTTATGTCCAATTTTAAAAATTTATAATAATGTATAGTAATTGTAGAGGATTTTTATTACTTAATAACAATAGCAAACCGATCCCTCATTTTATGTCCAGCAAAAATTTATAATAATGTATACTAAATGTAGAGGGATCAGTTTATTATTTACTGACAATAGAAAACCGATCCCTCATTTTATGTCCAGGAAAAATCTTATAATAATGTATAGTAATTGTAAACAGATCAGTTTATTACTTAATGACAATAGAAAACCGATCCCTCATTTTATGTCCAGCAAAAATCTTATAATGTATAGTAATTGTAGAGAGATCAGTTTATTACTTAATGACAATAGAAAACCGATCCCTCATTTTATGTCCAGCAAAAAAAAGATCAGTTTATTACTTCTCATTGGACTTTTTCAACCGATATAGGCAAGGTGATTCTACGAGAATTAGAAGTCCTAACAGCATTTGTTATTGGTGGTTACAATCTTCACAACATGATATGTAGATGACAACATTTTTGATAAAAAGACACAAAAAAAAAATAAATAAATAATGAAGGAAAAAAGAAGAAAAGACTGAACATCAATTGCAAGAAGACGGAATGCACATGGTTATCAACAAAAGAACAAGCTCAAAATAAAAATTACAAATCAGAGATTACAAAAATCAAGCAAGTAGAAAAATTTAAATATCTGAGAAGTGCTTTTACAGAGTGCAGAAAGTTCAACACTGAAATCAGAAGGGGCATTGAGATAACCAAAGATGCCTTCCAAAAGCTAAGCACAGTATTAAGAAACAGAAAAACTAAGAAACTAAAACGAAGAAAAGAATACTGAACTGTTACGTTACATCAGTGCTCCTATATAATAGTGAATGCTGGACAATCTCCTCACAGATGTAGAATTATTCAAAATTTTTGTAAAATATGGTTCTACAGAAAGATGCTGAGGATGGACCAAATATGTGATAAATGACAAAGTTTTAGAAAAAAAATGGGAAAAGAAAATTTTTTTTATGCTTCTTAAGTTTTTAAGGGACAGTTGAGGTTTTTTTTATTATAATAATAAAAGAAAGAGGGCTCAAAAATCTAATATTCACAGGACACGTTGAAGCCAAAGGGAAATTAGGAAACCAACAGAAATTTAATAACGTAAGTTAGTGATTACAGCTTGAGTAAATGGATGACAGAACAAAATTTAATTCTAAACAACACAAAAGACAAAATTTAATAAAAAGAACTGCAATAGAAATCCCCCAATTTATGTTCTTTTTTTGCTAGTATTTAATTTTAATTTTGAAAATAAGTTCAAATATGTTCTTTTTGTCAGGTTGCCTTTTGTGGCCATGCTGGCAGTGGCAGATCGTCTCTCATCCTTTCCCTCTTCAAAATGATTCATGTCCATGAAGGCAAGATTTTTATTAACAACCAGGACATTTCAGTGGTGCCATCATACATTCTCAGATCCAGGCTGTCTATCATACCACACGATCCCATCATGTTCGATGGAACTGTCAGGTGAGTTAATTTTAAAAAAAAGAGAAGGAAATGTGATAAAAAAAATAATTTTTCTGTCTTATTTTTTTTGTCAAAATCAAAGAATCAGTAATATTAAGAGTACTGACCAATCTTGGCTTTTCTTTTTTCCATTTCATTTGACCTTACTTTTTCTGATATTTCTATAAATATATTCATGGCAGTTGTTCTGATGAGCTCTCCCCCTTGGTACCTCAACCGTGTGAATTTAAGCATACTACTAGATTGGCAATTAGGTCTCATTTTATTGTTGAAATACTTAGATGTAACTGTAAGTTCTATTCTAATAATTTCTTTTCTTGCACTTCTTACCTGTGGAACTCACTTCTGTCTTCTTGCTTTACTGTCACCTTTTTTTTAAGCATTTCACCCCAAGCAAGGCAGGAAGCCACTAGTACACAACAGGTTACAGAGAGTTGGCGCTAGAGCAAATAGGAGTGATAGAGGAAAGGATGAAGAGAAGGTTAGAGGATAGATCAGGGCATCTGGAGACGTCGATTGATATTACATTTGAATAGTTGGAGATTATAGCTATCAGGGAAACAGGAAAAGGGGAGGGAGTTCCACAGGCGAGAAGTGCGAGACATGAAGCTATTGGAGTAGAAGAGACGGCTACATTTAACAGTTTCGACAGTGAAAGGGTGAGAGCGAGATGCCAGCCTAGTTGAACGCTTAAATTCATGAAGTCTGGGAACCAGCGAAAGCAGCTCATCGGAGCAGTTACCGTGAAAGTATTTGTAAAAAAGACAGAGGCAAGCGACGGTATGTCTGTGAGAGAGCGACTGCAGATGAGATGCCAGATCAGGGCCAATTACATTGCATATCCGTCTCTGGATCTTATCAAGAACCTTGAAACAAACAGAAGGGGCACCAGACCATATATGGCAGCAATACTCCATGCAAGGGTGAATGGTTGATTTGTAGATTTGAAGGATCGACTCCAGCAAGAAAAATTTCCTGGCGTGGCACAGGGAGCCAACTTTCCTTGCGGTGGACGAAGCTATTGACTCAATGTATTTGTTCCATCTCAGGTCAACAGTCAATGTGAGGTTGAGTAGTCACAAAGAGGAACTCTCGAGAAGTTGAGCGTCAGACATTCTAATGGGGGACAGGGATGGCTCTCTGTGGTGATTAATAGAGAGCAGTTTTGTTTTTGAGGCATTAAAGTTAACCAGCCAATTCCTGCCCCAGTTCACAACCGATTAGAGGTCCTTTTTAAGACGAACAGCCAGTTTAGTTTTGTCAACAACACTCTATTTGTTTTTGAGGCAGGAGTAAATTGCGTAGATGCCTACTTGGGAATCTATGACATCAAGAAGATCGTTGATGAAGATAAGGAACAGAGTAGGGCCTAAGATGGAGCCTTGGGGAACACCTGCATTAAATGCAATGTCAATTGCCATCTTCTTTTTTTGTTTTTTTTAATTCCTTTCCTTTTATTTGTCCTTTCTCTTCACTAAAATTTTTCCATTCTCTTTCCCTCCCAGTAACCCTTCGCATCTTAGTGGCATTATTGCCTTGCTTACAAAAAAAAGCTTCATCCTAAAAATGGGCAGTGTATTCATTTTCATATATGATCTACAGAAACTTACTCAAATGTTGTATTACTTTTTAAACGAAGGTTTTTCAACTTTATCCACTTGGCCATGTGTCCTTGAAGATATCTGTGTATGAATATTTGAGACTTATAATGTCTCAGTAACCATTTTTCACCAGTACTCATATTGCTATTTTTTATTATTATTATTTCATTTTTTTAGAGTTTATATTGCAATTTTTTGTTGTTATTCATTGCTTCTCTCTTTGCTGTGAATATGGCAATGAAGATGAGGACAATAGTCCAAAAATGTAAATAAGTAATTACTTATAAATTAAAACAAATTAATTTATGTGTATTCTAGTTTAAAAATCCATCAACATTTTCTATGGCTATTAAATTTGTAAAGCACATCTACAAAAATCATCCATATAAATGTATACACACTAATATGGAAAAGAATGAAGAATTTCAATAATGTATGCATATTATTTGGAATGCATTTTTTGAGTCGGCCAATCTTGGAAAGTGGAGGAATGACATTCTAACATATAGTAAAAAGGGTGAATTGGACAAAAAAGGTTGAGAATCACTTTTTTAAATATTATATTGTAGTGGATACACATGTTTAAGTAGAAGCCCCGTAAGTATTGTTCAGTTAAGATCAACCTATATGCTGATTTAACATCCTTCATCTTTGAAAATGTCTTTTCACACACCAAAAGTTGAAATTGTTTTTAATTTTTAAAGTAGAATATCCTTGTCAGTTAATTTTCATATTAATTCTTTTTCGATATTGATTGATTTCTATCATCTGTTGGTCTTTGATTACAAAGAGTTTTATTACTATAAACATTATTTGTTTTTTTTTTTTGTTTTAGTGGGTGCACTTACAGGATGCGATGGATAAATTGTCATCTAAATTATGCAAGAATGAAATTAACAGATATATTTATCAAAATTACACAAAAGTATCTTAAATACTAAAGAGTAAATTTATTCAATAAAATCACCATTGGCTTTAACCACAGCCTCCAGACGACTTTGGAATCTCCTGCAACTCTTCTGGACGGTCTCCTTGTTTAAGTTGGTGAATGTTGCCATAATCCTTGCTTTTAGTTCATCTTTGGTATTACAAGGAGTTTTTTAGTCTCTCACCCCACACATAATAATCAAGGATCACTGGATGTAATCAACGTCTTTATCCAAAATAATGTGTCATTCATGATCACCTTTTAAAAATAAAAAAAAAAGATTAATGGCTGAAACGTTGTTTGATAGTAGTGAAGATGAGGATAACAATTTCCATCTTTTAATGTAAATTGTTGGTTATTGGTTATATAAATAAAAAATTTGGTGTGTTTTTATTATTCAAAATATGGGTATATAATTATTTTTTTAAATATAAGCACTTTTCCACCTTTGCTAAATGCATAGTACTTGAAATATTAAAACGATCTTATAAGACATCATGTTTTAAATACCAGTTGTCATAAATTCATTAAATTAAAAATAAAGTCTTTCAGTATCTAGATGGTGACCTCTTTCTCTTAAAAAATGCTGTTAAATTGTGGTGTTTGTAATTCATAATGGTTCGGAATTGAAATCAGAGAGTATGTTTCCAATTCCATTTTCAAATTATATTCATTTACATATAAATCCCAATCGAAAACGATTTGAATCCACCTCTGAAATCCCCCAGCTTTTAATTTATAAGACTTTTTAAACGAAAACCATTATTATTTCCAAAAAATTGTGTACAAAATATTTCAATTTCAGCATTAAATAACCTTTAGAGATTGATATGCTGTTAAACAAATAAAACTAACCTATATATTTGTATGTGAGAATTTTATTGACTTAAATTATAAATCACTAAAGATGGCTCAAACAGATTTTCTGACCAGAACAATGGAGACACAAGGTTTGTTCTCAGTATCAACATTAGTAAAGCACCTTGGAATTTCCTCTAACCCTTTCTTGGACAAACTCTTATTTAACCCTTTAAGAGTGGAAGCAACCACAAGTTTCAAATAAATGAATATGATCTTTAGAATTGTTCATTGTCCTTCTGATATCATTGGGTATCACTGTATGTCAGTATGTCATGTTAACACCAGTCACATGATTAATGAGGTGCCAGAAAACTACACTTTTCTGATGTTTGTGGATTCTCAAATCCATATCACATAACCATTCGTACCAAGGAGAAGGAGGTTTAAGGAATTCATGTCTGGTTTCTTTTGTTATTCAATATATTTTTCCCAAAGCATTAAAATTGAACCTTCTAAAAATACAAAAATTTTTTTTTTTTTTATTCTTTAATTTTTGCAGGTTCAACCTTGACCCTGAGGGAAAATACAGAGACCCAGAAATTTGGGAAGCTCTAAATGCAGTACAGCTGAAGCGGACAGTTCAAGAATTACCACATAAATTAGGTAAGGTTTTGATTTAATTACTTTATGATGCCATGTTATGTTAGCAATGTCTGATAACAATAAAAAATATTTAAAAAAATTAATATTCAAAAATTAAAATTTTCAGACACACTGGGTTGTATATTAATATTTATTTTGTTTTATTTTTAAATTTATTCCTGAATTAAAAAAAAGACTGTTTTTGACTTAATTTTTTTTATAATTTCTTTTTTTTCAAAATGGAATACTTGTAAAATCAAAGTTCATATCATTTATATTTCATTTCGTAACAGTCAACATTCAATAAAAACAACAAAATTATAAAAATTTTTTTGAACCTTAAATAAACATTCAAACAACATAATTCATTCTACATTTAAAAATCAAACTTTTTATTTGCGAAAAAAGTTTTTTTGTTCATAATCTGACATTTTCTTTGGTCACGCCATTCAGGGAATTATTCATATAAGAAATTAACAATTTTATATATATATATACATTGATGTAAAAATTTTGCTAACTACTTTTGGTATTTTTTAAAAAATCCCTCTACATTCAAACACAAACCTTTTTTTTCAGGGTATTTGATTATTTTTTGTTACAATTCCTAAACTAGTTTTGGCCAGCATTAAAAGTCTGGATAAAAAAAATCCTAAAAAATTAATTTTGTTTCAAACTAGAATTATTGAATGAATTTTTTTTGACATAAAGTCGAAGGCAAAATTTTCATTTGGTTTTTATTATTAATTTTGGTCAAATTAATGTTGGTCAAACATTCTTTCAAGATGTTTTTTTTTATAGACTGATGGGATTTCTTGACTTTAAAAATACCTTTTTATTTCATTTTTGTTTTTATTGGTTGCTGAGAATGGGTTGTGTTTTTTTAAGTATTTATTTATCTTTTAGTTCTTTGATATTAAATGCGATGTGTGCATGTGTATATATTAGTATGAATGTGTTTTATAAGTGTTCGAATATAACACCTCTTTTGTTTTTTGTCTGTCTTGTGTGGGTGAGAAATGTGGGTGCAGCTTGATTTATGTGGGTAAAACATTAAAACATCCCATATTAATTCTATCTATGTTATTAAATTTGTGGTTATGCCTATCTGGACAAAGTGTTTTTTTGGCATTTTATTCATCATTTGTCACCATGTTCCTCTAAAATTTTTCTAAGGTTATCATTTTGTCTATTTCTATTTTTTTTATTATCATGAATTTTGCATGGCTTTTAAAATCATGTTTTTCTAGACAAAATGTTGTTCTACAGATTATAATCTTTCATGGGAGAAAACTTTTCAGTTCCGATAATTATTAATTCTAAGTGGAAGGGTTCAGATTTTCCCCCAATATTGTTTTTCTTTATGTACATTCTAATTTTTAATTATGCTATGACTTCTATTGAGTTTTAGATTTTGAAAGTAGATTTAATGACTAAAAGTGTAAATGTGTATATATATATATATATATATATATAAAATGATTGTGTGTGTGTATTTATAAAATAAAATATAGTTTTATATTTATAATATTTATGATAAAAATTTGGTAATGCAATATCAATGTTGGACAAAATTAATATATTTAAATACAAAAATGGACACTGATATCAATTTATTTTTCAGTAATCAACAGTGTGTTTTAATGCTTGGACACAATCTTCAGGTCTGCATCCAAATGAAAAGAGACTGTCACCATTCATGTTGACCTCAGTGTAAGAAATCCATACACTCTATCCTGAAAATTTATTAAACTATACATTTTCATTTATATATATATATATATATATTTATATATATATATATATATATAAATTTGTGTAGGTACATTTTGTCAGATTAGTCTATTTCATAATATATATTTGTCATTTGTTTACATTAAGATACATTTTTTAGCAATTTGATCTGTTCAAGAAAAATCATATTCATTTTTTAAAATAAAACAGTTTTGACTTTGCTTCATTCTGTACCTAAAACATTTGGTTTAGCACATTTGATTTTATGACCATTCTGTGTAGGATACAGGTTCAATTCCTGTTGGAAAGGAGGACACATATTTTTAAAATTTCTCAAACATTCAGGCCAGTAAATGTAGTTAATACTGTTTATTATAAACAGTGTATTTACTTAGATATTTGTATCTATAAAAATAACATATAAACAGAACATATATTAAAATAATTGTAAGAGACTTAGTCCATTTCATAATATATATATATATATATATATATATATAATAAAACAATAAAATCCAGAATCTCCTCATATGGGGAACAGCCTATTTCTGCAGACAAAGATATTTTAAGGTTGTTTGACTAAGGTTGCTCCACTATAAATCCTCTCCGCCCCCTCTGGGTTTTCTTTTGTCATCATAATTGCCTTATATATCTTCTTCACTGCAGTTTTCTCTGCATAGGACATTCTGTTATATAGGAATAATGTGTCATTGTCGACACTTGAGTTTGAACACGGATCATCAGACAGCAAGCACAGTTGACCTCATCTTGAAATAATTAGATCACGTGATGGATAAAGGAAAAGTATATATATGGGAATTAGCGGCGTCTGCCCGAGTATTGTTCGAAGGCTTTACTATTATTGTATCTGTGATTTACAAAGTCTCTCCGACAAATGAGAATGACAAAGTATCCAAACTCATTTCTGTGATTTTTCTTTCCAAGCATCTCTCCATTGCATCACCCACACATCTTTTTTATAAAATCCACAGCAATGCCATTTGTTATAATGATAACATTGACTGTTTCCTTATAAGGAAAGGTTTAGCATTCATTGATCAAGCAGCTTGCACTACTTCTGGTTGAAATTTAAAAAAGGAAGTTGTGGAGAACTATGATCAACCTGCCTAACGAACTTGTGTAAATGGGTGGCACAACAAGGATTAATAGATATAGCAAAAAGACAAACTTCACTAAAGGATACAAAGGACAGGAAGTTGTGGAGAGCCATGATCACCTATGTCTTGAAGGGACACGGCACATAGAAGAAGCTTTATCAGCAAGTGAAAAATCCCAAGAGGTTGGCTATGAGCTAGAGTCACCAAATAAGTAAGTACAGAAGTTTAAATAACTGGGAAGTGTTTTGGCAGAAATCTGAGGGCACACTGGACTAGAAAAATAAATGGTAATATTAGCTGTTTCCTTATAAGGAAACATTTGGCCATCACTGAGCAGCTAATACTAGTTTCAGCTGAAATTTATAAAATCTTTCTCTTAAAACAATTTTTCAGGAAGGTAGGTTTCTCAAGTCCAGTAGCTGTTATCGTTCTTTCCAGTAGTGATGGGAGGTTTCCTTCCTAACTTTTTGTTTGAAGTAGTGTGGAATGTCAACATCTTCATTAGGTCATTATTTTCTCTTCAAGTTACATGTTTTTTTTTTAATTATTTTACTCCAAGCAAGACAACAATGCCATTAGAACGCAGGGGGTTACAGGGAGTGAAAGTGAAGAAAATGCAAATGAAAAAATTGAGGAGGACTGAAGAAAGGAAAATAGGAACAGTGTTCAAGAAGACAGAAGATGACGATTGATGTTGCATTTAAATTTCCGAAGATTGTTGTTATCAAGGAAGCAAGAAATCAGAGAAGTGCAAGAAACAAAACTGCTAGAGTGGCAGTTGCATCTAGCTAGTTCAACAGTAAAATGGTGAGACCTAATTGCCAATCAAGTAGCATGCTTAAATCAGGGCACCAGAAGAAAAAAGCTCATCTGAGCAATTGTCATGGAAATATTTGTGCAGTAGACAGAGGGAAGCTACGTTATATCGGTGAGAAAGTGACTGATGTTGAGATACCAGGTCAGCACCGATTGCATTGCAGACATGTGATATCCATGTAGCTTGAACACTTGTAAGTAGAGGAAAACCTATTTACCTGTGAACGATTGTCCTCATCTTTGTTGTTGTCATCACAATGTTTCAACCATTGTGCGCTCCAGCCTTCATCAGGTGTATATTGATCTGGATAAGCTACAGGGAATTCCAAACAAAATCCTTTATTTAATCTATAGAGACAGAATGTTCTCATTCCACTGCCTATGTCTTGGTGCCATGTGACAATGGCCTAGTTGATTAAAGTGTTGAGTACTTGGTGACATAGTGGTTGTCAGTTCAGTCCCTGGGCCGAGGCAGTGTGAACTTGACCTCAGTGAAAGCAATGACTAATAAGTACTAAAAATAAGAACTAGACGAGATATCCCTAGATATGGGCAGCAGAATTTAAATATTTTACCTGCCTAGATTTAAATAAAAGGTTTAGTTCAGAATTCTCTGTAGGTTATCTGGATTGACCTACATCTGATGAAGGCTGGAGTGTACAATGGCTGAAATGTCATGATAACAACAAAAAGGTTATAGTCCACATGGAAACGATGTAAATAATGATAATTTCATCTCAGAAATTCAGATAGAAATTAGAAAAATGTGTGTCAAAAATGGAGTATTACCTGGTCTGGAACTATCAAATACAGAGTTTTGAAGGAGAGGCCTTATTTCCCACTCTACAGCCTCTTTCCCCACAGACACAAAGTTGCAAGTCTATCACTACTTTATTGTACTTCTATGGCAAATATGCAAATAAATTTTGCTCTTTCCTTCCACCATTTTAGACCTTTACAGCTCAAATCTACCATGTTATATGCACAGTCTCATCATCTATATTTCATCTGTAACAAAGAAAGCTTTTTCCTGAGAACTGCTACTCTCTGGAACAAGCATTCAGTAACCCTCTACCATGAGTGGCTCTTTAGCCCTGTATTGGGTGAATCTTAATATAAAAAAAATATAAAAACACTACTTGCATTATTTACATTACACATGGCCCAGTGGATAAAGACGTTGGTTAGATCCAGTGACAGGACCCAAAGAGTTGTGAGTTCAGTAACAGGCCACAGTAGTGGTGAAACAAAATTGGAGAGTTGAGTTAAAGGGAAATAACTGAGGCATCAGAAAGAGGCATGGAATGTGGAACTAGAACAATCTACCCCGGTGGATGAAATAAAGGGTTCAGTTCAAAATTCTAATCACCTGAAGAAGTGTGGAGTGTACAACGGCTGAAACATTGTGAATATGTCAATGAAGATGAGGATAACAGTCAATGTAAATAATGCAAGTAATCATAATACGTCATCTCAGAGATATAAATAGATATCAAAAACACAACTATTTTAAAGTCAAGGGTCAATTGCTATCTATCTTCTTTATCTTCATAATCATATTTTCCTTCTCTCTCATCATCCATTCAGTAACCCTCTACCATGAGTGACTCTTGAGCCTTGTATTGGTAGAACCAACAGAGTGTAATATATTAATTGAAATCTAAGGACATTATTTTTTCTTCATCTTTTTCAGAAACTGCTGTTCTTTATGAGGGAAAAGAATTTAGTGTCGGACAGAGACAAGTAAGTACCATAAATTTTTATCCATGATGGAAAATTCATTCATTATCTGACACTTTCGGTAGAGGAGGAACGTATTCAGCATTTGATAATTTTGCGGCTAAAGACACTTTTTTGGCAGTTTTGATCAACATTGCTTTTCATGGTTGGCTGTAAGGAATTTTAAATGTCGGACTACTTTACACTTAAGTAAAGATAATAATATCCTATAAAGAATTTATTACAGGAAATATCAAGTTTTACTGAAACATTGTTGATAATTATGTATTTAGTTACATAAATAAATAAAAATAATATAAATTTTGATGCTATATTCGATTTGTTGTTAGGTATTTTTAATCTTCTCCTTTGTTATTGGCAGCATTTTAAAATAATTTGGCTGCAATGCTAAGTTTCCTAAGTTGAAAAACTGGAACTATTTTGTTTACGCTTTGTTACCTCTCTTTTCCATTATTGTTTTTAGATTGCTTTGTTCCAGTCATTTTGTTGGGCAATAGTGAAATTTTGAAATTTAGAATGATCTTTTTCCATTTCAAATATAAAGCCTGTAAAAAGAAATATTTTAAATTAATAAACGACCAAAAATAAAATGCTCACCTGAATGATTTCATTATAATTATGTAACAATAATGTAACGATATTCCGCAGACAAATCTACGGTTTATGTTACCTTGTCTTATTGCATGGCTATGAACTATAAACCTCAATTAAACTTGAAATATTATGTAATTGGCTCTAATTTTTTTTAAATACTTGGATGAAAAATTAGTACTTCTTTGTCAAATTTTTCGGTAATGCTAAATAAAATTCATACTGTTCATTTATAATAATTCACCAGGGAGTTTTCATTCATGCAAAAAAATTCTAAACTGAAATGTAAAAAATAAATATAAGTAACTAATATCATATACCTATAATATAAATGTAAACAGAACGAAAACAGATAATTGTTGAATCAGTTTTTTATTTTTTTTTATCCTTTACTGGCAATGTTGAAAAGACATAAGGTAAATCAAGGCAAAATGTCCCGTGAACCAATAAATGGGCTAAGAAAATGTTATTTTCGGAGTCATTTGATAAAGTGAAATATGTTTCTTTAATGTAAAGCCTGTGTCTGTCATTGGGTTATTAGGTATTTCTGTAAAAATAAAGAAAAAACAAAGAAAGAAGTAACTGACAGTAAATACAGGTCCCATTCGCTGAGTGGGTACTGACTCGTGAAGGTGGTTTCACACTGGTGCTATACAGACATTACTAAATATATTCCCAATAATTGTTATTTTTTTTAATAACATAATCGGTTAGACAGGATGATGTCTATATTACAATATTACAATAATCAAGAATATATTGTGTATGTTTAGTAATATTATGTATATAAAATTAAATAAAAAGTCAAAAGTGCATTAGCTTATGTCACCTGTTCTCGCAGAACCCTTGAGGACCTTTTGCAGAAATTTAGGGTTCCGGGGAACTTCAGTTGAAAAATGCCACTCTAGACCTTTACACATACAAAGGTATATCAACAGGATCCATCATGGCAAAAGTATTAATGAACATTATATTAAGTACGCTTTCATTGTTTTATCAAAGTCAACTCCTCACGATCCATCTTCTGCTAAGGGATGCATTGATGACATATATGTCACTGAACAACTCCAAGAAATTGCTTACCTCTTTAACTGCATACCTGTTTTGTCGAATTAACAGCAGCATATAACCACATTAATGGAGACATTCTCTTCTCATCGAACAAAGGAACTGTATCGATTTACAGATTCTTACATGTCTGGTGTGAACCTCCAATACAGAAACATTTCAAATCCCATCAACAGGAAGACACAAAGAGGAAATGGGGAGGGCCATAGTTTATTTAATCACTTCCTAGGCTATGTTCTGTGCATATACAAGCACAGATGTAAAAGAGATGGGCACTGATCATTTAAGACAAAGTAAATCAAGACAAAATGTCCTGTGAAGCAATAAATGGGCTAAGAAAATGTTACTTTCAGAGCCATTTAATAAAGTGAAACATGCTTCTCTAATGTGAAGTCTATGCCTCTCCTTTGTTACACAAATACTTAATTCAATGTATTTGTATAGCAAAAGACAGGCACAGGCTTCACAATGATTGTTATATTTTTTAATAACATAATAGGTCAGACAGGATGATGTCTATATTACAATAACCAAGAATATATTGTGTGTGTTTAGTAATATTACGTATATGGGCTGCAGCACTTTCTGCTTACCTCGGAGTTCTTGACAAGATCCAGAGACAGATATGTAATCTAATTGGTCCTGATCTAGCGTCTCGTTAAAGCAGTCACTTCTCACAGACGCGCCGTCGCCTCTCTCTGTCTTTTTTCTACAAATGCTTCCATGGTAACTGCTCTGACGAGCTGCTTTCACTGGTTCCCAGACTCCATGAATTCAAAGCGCCCTTTTTTATTTTGCATCCTGCTCCCACCCTTACACATAGAAACTTTCAAATGTAATTTGTCTCTTTTAGATGAATAGCTTCATACCTGCACCTTTCAAAGTGGAACACCCTCCCCAGTTACTGCTTCCCTGAAGGCTATAATCTCCAACTATTCAAATGTAATGTCAATTGACATCTCCAGTTACCTTGATCTACCCACTATCCTTCTCCTCATCCTTTCTCCTATCACTCCTATCTGCTCTCGCTCCAAATCTTCCGCAACCCCCAGCATCCTAGTGGCTTCACGCCTTGCTTGGGGCGTAATGCTTAAAAAAAAAAAAAAAAAAAATGAAATTAGATAAAAAGTCAAAAAAGCTTATGTCACCTGTTCTTGTGGAACCCTTGAGGCCTTTTGTGGAATCTTAGGGTTCTCGGCAACCCCAGTTGAGAAACGCTGTCCTATTTCTGTCCCATAAGGTTTGATACATTTACATACATATTTTATACACTAAATGTACAAAGTACAGAAGTAGAATGCAGTTTGAGTTCAAAAATCTTACGTACATGTAAACGATTTCATTTGCTTTTCCCCCTTTTCTGTTTTAGCTCTTCTGTTTTGCCCGTGCCTACATGCGGGACAGTAAAATTGTGATTGTGGAACAGGAACATACAAACGATGATGCTTTGATGGAAGAGACAATCCAGGAATTGATACAAACTGTCTTCCGAGACTCCACAGTCCTCGTCACTTTGGTATGTAACATTAATTATTACAGCACATGTTCACTGGACAGTTGTCAATCTAGTGGCGTAGCTAGAGTAAACGTCACCCGGGGCGGTCCGCTCAAATGTTACCCCAATGACCCCATTCACCCTATGCTGAATGGTTAGCTGTAGCTAAATTTTCATACATGCTCTACCTCTACTTTATACTGACCTGTACGTTACTGTTTACATGTATGATCCAAGACAAAATCAATACAGTGTAACCTGGATATAAAGAGAGTTAATCGGGACCAGAGAAGTTCTCTTATATCTGGGTTTATCTATTTTATATATTAACACAGGCTTAATTTGGGACCAGAGAAATCTCTCTTATATCCGGGTTTCTCTTATATCCGGGTCTCTTATATCCAAATTACACTGTACCAAAAATAATCAGTTCAAATCAAAAGATTTTTAAAATGCAACTGTTCACTTTCAGAACAACTAAATACAAAACACGGCAAATACACAAAAGAATGACATTCAATACTATGGTCTTAGAATGAATGTTTTCTTGTTTTCATTGTGGCAAACTGGTCAATGACATCGTCAAAATCTGTTTGTCTTGTAAGCTTATTTTCAATGGACAGCACAGCCAGATCCGACAGTCTCGACTGGCTCATGGTTGATGTAATTTTCTGTTGCTAATTTTCCGGTGTCCAATTTTCCGTTGCATCATTTTCTGGGTACCATTTAATTATCAATGATGTTTGAAAGTATTTTTCTTGACAAAAATGTTCTATTTAATTTTTTCTGATGGGGGAAAAAACTGGGGGGGGGTGTTATAAATTATTTCGTGGGGGGGGGTTTTTCTTTGCCCAATATAAAAACCCTTTGTCTCCACCACTGTTTTCAGACTATTTTGGCAGCTTAGTCTAGTTGAAAAATTTTGTTGGGGGTAACATTGTGTCACCCCTCTTGTGCTGGCACCAGGGGTGGTCCCCCCCCCAGCTATGCCACTGTGTCAATCACTTGCTTTCCTCTTTGCTAACACATACTTCATACTTGAATCCTTACTCGACACCTTTTTTAAACTAGCTGCCTTTGCAGAAAGGAACTCCAACAGAAGGTAGTAGAGGAAAGGAAGAAGAAAGGACTAAGCATCAATTGTAAGAAAACAGGATGCATGATTGTTAGCAAAGGAAACAGCTCAAAGTACAAATTGTAAATGGAAGATATCAGAATCAAACAAGTGTGGAAATGTAAATATTTTGGTAAGTGTTTTAAGAGAGGACGGAAAGTGCAACAGCGTTTGACATACAGGTTTTCTCCACAAGCTGAAAAGTTACGGCATCTCCAGACAAATTTTTGAACTGATCCAGTCTTTTCTATCAAATCATGAAATGAAAGCTCTCCTGAATGTCCACTCATCTAGATTTTTCTGTTCTGATGCAGGTTCCCTCCCTCGGAGACCCCCCTCCCCCAAGTCCTACTTTTATAATTTTCATTAATGACCTTCTTGATGGCATCAGCTCTCAACTTATAATAATATAAGGGAGTTTTCATTCACACAAAAAAAATTCTAAACTGAAATGTAAAAAATAAACATAAGTAACCATATCACCAAAAATTGGAAAAACATAATTGTTTTTGCACGAAATCAATTTGAAAACACGATTAAGAGACATTGCTGTTGCAAGAATGAAACGGGGACAACTCATATCGAGTTATACTTATTAATATCGAGTTATACTTATTAATATCGAGTTATACTTATTATAAAACCCAGGTTGTGTGTGTGTGTGTTCATTTATATATGGAATCGGATTTCCTACATTTCAACAAAACTTCACTTTTTTTTAGCAGGTAGTGTTTCTTATTGTCATGCACACTTTTTTTCTTTATTTTTACATTCAGAATGCTTTAAAAATTCCATTTACAAGACAATTGTTTATAATAAAATTCTATTCAATCAGTAGATTCATAACGATTGAAAACAATGTTTTTGTTTGAGTTTGGGTTTGACCAATTTGTAAAAAAGAAAAAACTAATTAAGACATACGTGTCTGTCATTCTTAAACAATAATCTTTGTCAATTTTATTTTTCAGTCTTTATGATGATCTGATCTATCTCTTACTGTTACATCTCCAGGCAACGCCAGGCTCTACTGCTAGTATATATATAAATGTAAACAGAACGAAAACAGATAATTGTTGAATCAGTGATTTTTTTTTTTTTAAATCATTTACTGGCAATGTTGAAGACAGGATGCATGATTGCTAGCTGATGAGACAACTATTTATTCCTGTCTCTATAGTAAGTCTGATCAGTTTGATAATTTCAAAATGGCAGATATTGTCCAAAACGATCTCCAGTCTGTTATTAAGTAGGGCAAAAGAGGACTTGTTAATTTTAACACCTCTAAAACTAAGTTTCTCTTTATTAATCAGCTGAGAGACCCTCACCCTGCCTTCCATTTACATGGCTAATGCTAACCTTCAGGAAAGTGACTCATTGCACCTTCTTTGGCTAATGATCTTGGCTGACATGAAGCAGAAAAACTATACTGAATCCATTGCAAGGTCAGCTGCTAAGAAAGGTGGTTCACTGTGTTGTGCTAGGCAACTTTTCTCTCCAGAATATATCCTACATATCTCTAAGTCTATTATTCATCCATGCTAAGAGTATTGCTGCCGCATATGGTCACTTTCCCATCTCTGTAACATGACTTTTCTATAAATACTTTCGTAGTCTGTCTATATTTCCTCAAGGACACATGGCACAGTGGATAAAGGTGTTGGTTAGATCCAGTGACAGATCCAAAGAAGGTGAGTTCAATTGATGTCAGTTATCAGTTATCTCCTGTTAATTTCCCTCTGAAAGTTCACCACTGTCTTAATCGGGTATTGAACTCACGCTCTTTGGGTCCTGTCACTGGATCTAACCAATGCCTTGATCCACTGTGCAAAACATGGCACATGGAAGTAGAACAGTCAACCCCAGTGAGCGAAATAAAGTGTTCAGTTTGATATTCCAGCCACCTGAAGAAGGCCGGAGCATACAACAGCCGAAACGTTGTAATAAATATGGTGACAAAGATGAGGACAATAGTCTGAATAATTTAAATAGTGTACATAAGACCTCATCTCAGAAATCTAGACAGATACTGAAGGGCCGAAATGTTGTTATAAATATGGCGACAAAGATGGGGACAATAGTCCGAATAATGTAAATAGTGTACATAATACCTCATCTCAGAAATATAGACAGATACTGAAGGGCTGAAATGTTGTGATAAATATGGCAACAAAGATGAGGACAATAGTCAGAATAATTTAAATAGTGTACATAATACCTCATCTCAGAAATATAGACAGATACTGAAGGGTTGAAATGTTGTAATAAATATGGCGACAAAGATGAGGACAATAGTCCGAATAATGTAAATAGTGTACATAATACCTCATCTCAGAAATATAGACAGATACTGAAAGGCCAAAATGTTGTGATAAATATGGCAACAAAGATGAGGACAATAGTCAGAATAATTTAAATTGTGTACATAATACCTCATCTCAGAAATATAGACAGATACTGAAGGGTTGAAATGTTGTAATAAATATGGTGACAAAGATGAAGGTAGTCCGAATAATGTAAATAGTTACATAATAATCTCAGAAATATCGACAGATACTGAAGGGCTGAAATGTTGATAAATATGGCAACAAGATGGGGACAATAGTCAGAATAATTTAAATAGTGAATAATCTCAGAAATATAGACAGATGTACATAATACCTCAATCTTGTAATAAATACAAAGATGAGGACAATAGTCCGAATAATGTAAATGAATAATACCTCATCTCAAAATATTGCTGAAAGGCCAAAATGTTGTGATAAATAAACAAAGATGAGGACAATAGTCAGAATAATTTAAATTTGTTTGTACATAATACCTCATCTCAGAAATATAGACAGATACTGAAGGGTTGAAATGTTGTAATAAATATGGTGACAAAGATGGGGACAATAGTCCGAATAATGTAAATAGTGTACATAATACCTCATCTCAGAAATATAGACAGATACTGAAAGGCCAAAATGTTGTGATAAATATGGCAACAAAGATGAGGACAATAGTCAGAATAATTTAAATTGTGTACATAATACCTCATCTCAGAAATATAGACAGATACTGAAGGGTTGAAATGTTGTAATAAATATGGTGACAAAGATGAGGACAATAGTCCGAATAATGTAAATAGTGTACATAATACCTCATCTGAGAAATATAGACAGAAATTATTTTCTTTTGTTATTTCCATGAATTACTCAATGTTGAACGAAGAAGTTTTACAATTTGTAAACTTTAACATTTTTCTAACTCATAATTTTGTTTTTTCTTTTTTCTTTTTTTTTTGACAGCACCATTTAACCCACCTGCATAATTACCATCGCGTCATGGTTTTAGATCAAGGGAAAATTATCGAATTTGACACGGCTGAACATCTTTTGGCTAATGAGAACAGCATGCTATCCGCTCTTGTCAGGGAAGGTCAACAAAGACGATCAAATAAAGTGCTCATCACTGTCTCTTGAGCCAGACTTGGTATGTCTAGGCACTGGATGTCCTTTTAAGACTGTATCACTCAAATAACCTACAAAGGAAGTCCTTGGCAGGTTGATGCCAGTAAAAAATTTCATTTAAAACAAAATTACATGATTTTTCTTCCACTCCATTTCAAGTAAAAACAATAAAAAAAAGAGAGAAAAATTTCAAAGTTAATATAAAAAAATTATTTTATAAATATAAAAAAAAATGTTCTACCATAAGAAAAAACTTTCAAATTTAAAAAAAAAAAAAAATTAAAAAATTTTTCAAAACAAAAAACTTTTAAAAAATTATTTATACCAATTAAAAAAAAAAAAAAAAAAAAACTGTTAAAAAATATCAAAAAGCAAAAGTATTTTTTTTCTGTCTTAACATTGAGAAAATTTCAGGTAAAACTTTTCAAGATCTTTTTTTATTTTTGTTAATTTACAGACGGTTTGTCAAAATAAAATGAAAAAACAAAACAAAAACCAACTCATTCCCTCCCCATATATATATATATATATATATATATATATATATATATATATATATATGCGATTGCAAAATGAGTGCTGGTGGTAATAAAATAAATGCTTGAGGTAAAATAACAGAGCTAAAAATTATACTATTAATAATTAATATACATTTTTTACAGTTTGCTGTATGCATGAAATTCAGAGTTTTATCAAATGGTGAGAGGAAATATATATATATATATATCCAAATGAGAGAAAGAAAGTAAAAAAAAAGTGATCAATAAAAAGTAGAGCAATATATTATTGTTATTTTTTTTTTTAGATATTAGACCACAAACGTTGAAATCGCCATTCCAATTTCAACATGTTTTTGTTCTAATATCTAAAATATATATATATATATATATATATATATATATATATATATATATATATATATATATATATATGAGAGTGGTTAGAGTTTAGTGTTCAGACCATGAGACTCAGGTTCTAATCTCACCCTGGTTGACTGTCAAGGAGGTGACTTCTTGAGAAGAAAATCTACAATTCAGGCAACTGTTGGGGAAATGCATGGAAACTCTGCCACAGGTTGGCCCAATCCTTGTGCATGAAAATGGATAGACAGAACTGTTTGGAAGTTGTTGATAATTTGTCTTAGCACAAAGTCACAAGTCATCATGACCAATGTTGTAAACACATTGGTCGTGTTGATGATGTCAGTTTATGTACTCTTTATCTATAAACTGTAACTAAATGTCCTTGCAGCATAGTTGCAGTAGAAACCATAAGTGATGTCTGTTGAAGAAACAAATGTGCCTCAGCAGACGTCTTCAACAGGAATTACTCAGATACAAGCACCAGGCCATCATTACACACACACACACACACACACACACACACAAAATTAAAAAAAGAAGTCACTAATTCCTATTTTGATGTCTATTTTACGATTGCCAGCATTATAAACAAATATTGAAAAAAGAATTTTTCTTTTTTAAGTGTGGGTTTATCTGTTTCTTTTTGTTTACTGGGGACTGAGGGGCTATCCATGTAAACCTTGTTCAAGTCTTTCACATCTCAACATAAAACATTTCTATACCTTTTTATAACTCTGATGGTCTCCGTTCTAACTCCTTTACTCTGCTCAACAAAATTCAACCTCGAAGTCAGGTCATCTTTTAACCTCAAAGTCAGGTCAGTCGTCTTTTAACCTCAGTCAAGTAAGTCATCTTTTAACCTTGAAGTCAGGTCAGTCATGTTTTAACGTCAAAGTCAGGTCAGTCGTCTTTTAACGTCAAAGTCAGGTCAGTCATCTTTTAACCTTGAAGTTAAGGTCAGTCATCTTTTAACCTCAAAGTCAGGTCCGTCATCTTTTAAGCTCAAAGTTAGGTCAGTCATCTTTTGACCTTGAAGTAAGGTCCGTCATTTTTTAAGCTCAAAGTCAGGTCAGTCATCTTTTAACCTTGAAGTCAGGTCAGTCATCTTTTAACCTCAAAGTCAGGTCAATCATCTTTTGACCTCAAAATCAGGTCAGTCATCTTTTAAGCTCAAAGTCAGGTCAGTCATCTTTTAACCTCAAAGTCAGGTCAGTCATCTTTTGACAACAGAAAAGATTAAAAAGAAAAAAAAAGAGGTTCTGATGATCCTATCTCTATTTTGTTACTTTGAATAAATTATTAGCCCAAATATTGACCAGTAAGCCCTTGAGATTTAGAAGGTAGACTGACCATTCTGATCTGGGTCTATTTCATTTTGCTTCACCCAATAACAAAAGCCACCTTACCAAATTATCTGTGCTAGGAAGAGATGAAACAAGCCACTGTATATACCCCTCCCCCTTACTGTGATTATTTTTACAGCCATGGTCTACAAGAAAAAGCCTGTAAGATGTTACGACTTTTGGGTATTTCACAGCTTTTGTCTACCTGCCAGATTAATAAATAAAACATCCATTACTTTAGAAATTGCTTTGTTTACGTTTGGATATAAAACTGAGTAGATATAAAATGATGAAAAGACTTTTAAAGGCACTTTTTTAGTTTTGCTGGATTGGCAAAAATTCTTTGTGGTAGAGTTGATGGTTCTTGCTGTCCAGGTGTGAATCCCGACAGAGAGTGCATATTTTTCTTGAATATTCAGACTGGTGCATGAAAATAAATATACTGTTTAAAAATGAAAACAAAATGTCTATTCAAATATGGGTGTCCACTAAAAAGAGCATTCAAGTAATAAAAATCAGTTGAATTAATAAATAAAACTCCATTACTTCTTTAGAAATTGCTTTGTTTACATTTGGATATGAATCTGAGCAGATATTAAATTTTGAGAACCTATGATGAAAAGGATTTAGCTTAAAAGCACTATTCGAACATGCTTCATCAGCAATGTCGTTTGTGGTATAAGATAGACTGTGCAAGCAACACGCAATAACTGTAGACCCCACCACCTTGGTTTCATTTCCAGTGTTTCTTTAACGGGTAAGAGTCTGTAAACATACAACTCATGATCCTAAAAAACAAAACAAAAAATCACAAATCATTTTAATGACACAAAATGGTTTTTTCTCCATGTTCCACTAAAGCAAACATGAAAAGCAAGTCAGGCAAAAAGGGCCAGGCATTTTGCAGTTACACATATATATTAAAAAAAAAATTCAGTTTCTGTCTAAATTTCTGAGATTATAATATTTTTCATTATTCGGACTATTTCCTCATCTTTGTCGCCATGTAAACGTTTCTCAACTTGTACGCCTGGCCTTCTTCAATTAAAATGTCCTCAAGGACTCATGGCACAATGGATAAAGGCGTTAGTTAGATCCAGTGACAGGACCAAAACCAGTGTGAGTTCAATACCTCGTTATGGCAGTGGAGAAATTTCAGAGGTAAATTAACAAGGAGATAACTGACATCCATGAAATCCAAATTGAATTTTTTGGAATTTTTGTTTCCACTAGGATTAAATGTAATTAAAATATTTAAAACTTTCTTGACTTTATCTGAAGAATTTGTCCAAAAATAAATGGTCTGGATCATTGTTATAATATTGCTCTACACAAATTTGGGACCCAAAAGTTTGAAATATAAATCCGTATACAATATTAGAACTTTATTATTCCTTTTTAAAAAAATAAATAAATTGTAGGTTATGTTTTAAATTAAGAAAAAAACGATTCTGCTATTTTGATCACTTAGTTTTACTAAAAAATTTAAAATAAATTTCTTGCAAAAATTTTTGTTTTTCTTTCAAAAAAAAAAAGTTGAAACATTAATTTAAAAAAATGAAATTTTTTTTGTATCAGGTTTTAAATTTGAATAGATCTATTTTTTTATATAGGACGTATGATTCAAAATATCCACAGTCAATGGAATAATATTAAGAATTGTCACTTCCTGATCAGAAGAAAAAAAGATTTGTTATACTAGTACAATAACCATTGATGAATTTGGAATTTTTATGTGTTATATAAACAGATTCAAATGATTTTAAATTCAGTAATATCTAAAGTGTGGAAATTTCAGGTATATCTAATAATTGAAAAGGCTATTTCTTTGTGAAAATGCTTATAAAAATGGAACAACCGAACTTACGGCAATGACAATTCTCAAATTTTTTCAATTTCTTTTTTCTTTTAAATAATTCAAAAAAAAAGTTTTTAATAAAATAAACAAACATGAATCACTAACCTGAAAATTTTAGTAGGCAACATTCAGAGAATATTTAAACCATATAGACAGAATTTTATACTATTTCAATAATCCAAAATAATAAAAATTCTCCATCAAAATCAGCCAAAAACTTTAACAATATGCAAACTTTTTATAAAACACATTTTGGAAATTATCATGAATGTAAATACAAATATTTGGACAATTGATTTAAACTTCTCCATATTAACATTTCTAATATTTTTGTGGGAAAATTTTATAAAATGGTCGTAAACTTAAATTTCTGAATTTTTTGGCAAAAAAACTATAATTAAAATATTCTTTAATTTAATAAAGATTTTAAATGCTTGGAAAAAAATAATTTTTATGCATTTGAATTTCTAATTATTAAAAAAAAATTTAAATAGATACACCAAGAAATGGTAGAAATATAATAAAAAGAAATAGAAGATTTAATTAATTTGAAATTTTTATAGAAAAGATTTTTGTAATAAAGTATGAAATAAAAAATTTAATATAGTCACAGGAGAATTGAAAAGTTTTCAAAATTTGAATCATTAGAAAAAAAAAAATGGAATTTAAAAAAAAAATCTCTTAAACATATTAAAGGTTCTTTATTGTGTGATAAGATAAAAAAATTCATGAAAAAAGGGTTGAAAATATAAAAAACAGAAAAAAGAGAGAAAAAAAGAAAAAAGAAAAAAAATTTGAGAGAAAAAAGAGAAAAAAAAACAAGAGAAAAAAAAAAGAAAAAAAAAAAAGAAAAAACAAGAGAAAAAAAGAGAAAAAAGAGAGAAAAAAAAAGAGAAAAAGAAGAAAAAAAGAGAAAAAAAAAAGAAAAAAAAAAAAAAAAAAAAAAAG